CTGCCGCCGCTTCCCCACCGGAGCTCTGGAGGTTATTCCCGGGCTCGTCCCCCTCCCGGCAGGGGCTGCAGGGGGGCCGCGGGGAGCAGGGAGGGGAGAAGCCCCCGGCTGTGCGGGCTCACGGCCCTGCCTCTGGGCCGCTCCCCCCGACCCCGTGCATGCGGCGGTTCGCGGCAGGAGGAGCCGAGTGCCACCCTGGACGTAACTAGAGGTCACCTCGACACCCCCCACTGCCACACCCGGGAGCACAGGTTTATAACCAAATTTTCTGGTAAAATGTGCTTTTCCGGTTAGCGGGTCCGCCGGTGCCCCTGGGTGTGAAGCGTCTCCCGTCCAGGTCAGGACTCCCCGGGTAGCGGGGCGAGACGGTGAGTTGGGAGCTGTGGCGTCACTCCTCGGGAGACGTCCCTGAACCCTGCAAGCACCAAGTCATCACAGCCCACAGAGTCGTGGGGTGGCTTGTCTCAAGGGGCTTGGGAACAGGCCCTCGTCCAGGAGGTGCACTGGGCTGCGGGCCCTTCCCGGGCTTGGCGGGAGCGTCCCTCGCCCACTGGCCGCCGTCTCTCCGGATGTGAAGCTGCGCGAGGAGATGCGGGAAGCAGGGCAGCAGGCTGGTTTGAGGAAGCGTTTTGGGGTCCGCTGAGCTCCCACAGGTCGCTCTGGGCACTGGGACGGCGTCTGGCTGCGGCGGACAACCCCCGGCAGAAGCACGCTGCTCCGACAACCGGAGTCCAAGCCGGGACACAAGCCTTCCGGTGACCCCGTGGGACCCCGAGATTCCAGCAGAACGACCACGGCCAGACGTGCGGGGAGGGAGGCCTTCTGCGCCCCTCTGCTCGTCCTCGTCCCCTACGCTGACCTCAGCCTCCTGGACACACAGCTCGGGCTTCCCCTGCCAGAAGAGTTTCCTCCAACAGAACACACCGTTTTGGGGCGGCAGACCCCAGAGCAGAAGGACTTTGGGGAATCTTCCTTGACGTTCCAGCTAGAGCCGACTTGCAGACGTGGGCCCGCGGCTCCCCGGATTGCGGCGTGCTGTCAGCGCAGCCCTCCGGCTGGGACACAGACCAGGGCGGGCGCCGGACGCTCTGCACGTGAGCCTTCCTCCTCGGAGCGGCCGCCGCGTGCATGTGTGTGGGTGCAGAACCGGGGCCTGGGTCTGACCTTCCCGCTGATCACGCCATTCGGCTGTGGGCTCCCCCTGCACTCGGGCCGTCGGTGACCGTCCCCACGGCACTGTGCGCCAGCCACATGGGCCTCCCAGGGTTGGGCCCCATTTGGGGCCCCCATGCACCATGTGGCCATGGACGCCGAAAGCGCGGGCTCAGCTTCATCAGAAACTGCCGGAAGGTTTTCCAGACCGGTTTTGCCGGTCTGTATCCCGCTGGCGGCGGCAGGTCCCCGGGTCCCCAGATGTCCCCAGTTGGGGGACGCGGCCTCTCGGGGAGCCTGCGCACTGGCGTGGTCATGGCCGGTCGTCTGAATGCCCCCTCCCTGGGCCTGTCCTCACGTAGCCGGTGGGGTCTGTCGGCGGTTCCTGGTTCCGTGCGTGTTCCGCACAGCAGTCCTCCTTCAGGGACACGTGCCCCAGCCCGTCCCCTCACTCGCGCCTCTCCTTCTGGGCACCTGTCTCTTGCGCAGTTTCCGTCGAGTCCTACTTACCAACCCTCCCTTTATGGGCTTTTCCCATCCTGTTGGAGAAGTCTTGAGGACCGTTAATGTATCCTCATTGCCGTCCTCCAGAAACCTCATTCCCCCGATGTGGGGCTCGATCCGAGGACCCAGGACCCCAGATCATGACCTGAGCTGAAGGCAGACGCTTAACGAGTGAGCCCCCCAGGGGCCGCTGGAAAGTAGTTTTAGGTAGAACACGCCCACGGGACGGTTGGCGCTTGTCCACACGCGTGCACAGCTGACCTGGCTGACCCCTGGTCGGGGGGGTCGCTGCGTCTCAGTCGGGGCTGGGCACGTGCGGTCCCTGAGGGGCTGCTTCACCTGGTTTCCTGCACCGAGACCACACGGTCGTGGTTCGTGTCTGGGAGTGGGGCCCGTCGGCCGTGTCCTCTTGAAGACTGTCCTGGCCGTTCTCGGTCGGGTCCCTGCTGCCCGTCAGCCTGTCACTGCCTGCAAGGGAGCAGGTCTGCTAGGAGTTTGATCTGCTGTTGCACCGAGTCTGTAATCCAGGGTGGGCTCCGCCGACATGTTTAACAACATTCAATCATCTCGTTCATAAATACGAAACGTCCTACATTAACTTATGACTCCTTTCAGTGATTTTTCTAAACGTTTGACACATTTTTGTGAGGCATATTTCCCTTTATTGCTATTTTGTGCTACTGCAAATGTTGTTTCTTAAAAAAAATTAACTTTCTAGGGGCGCCTGGGTGGCTCAGTGGGTTAAAGCCTCTGCCTTCAGCTCAGGTCATGATCCCAGGGTCCAGGGATCGAGGCCCGCATAGGGCTCTCTGCTCAGCGGGGAGCCTACTTCCTCCTCCCTCTCTCTCTGCCTGCCTCTCTGTCTACTTGTGATCTCTCTCTGTCAAATAAATAAATAAAATCTTTAAAAAAAAATTAACTTTCTAGCCGTGTGCTCCCTGTATATGGAAATGCAGTTCAATTTCGGACATTGATAAATTCAGTTAGTGATCCTAATGGCTTTGTATTCTTTTAGGTTTCCCGTGTTTACGGTCTTTTCTGTCTGGAAGGCCAGCTGTGTTTGTCTGCTTCCAGTCCCCACGGCGCTGGGCGCCTTGCTGGCCGCCAGCATGGCGGGCCTCCGCTGAATGGGGGCTTCCAGGCAGCAAGCCCCCGATCTCCCCTGCACACAGTCGGTGCTCAGTAATTACTTGTTGCTTGAGTATTTTTTAATCTAAGTATTAAACTTGGGTTTTTATCTGCCATTTAGTACCCTTTTAGAAATATTTCCCTTGCACTGTGTAATGGTACCACATGCCCATATGGGCTCCCGTGGTCCTCAATGCGGAGTCACAAACCTGGACACAGGCGCGTTTTCCTGGGCGTTACTGACACTGTGTTTGTGACTCTGATGCTGAGTTCGAGGACACGGGTTAGTCCACGGTTAATGGTGTCTTCACGTGGTACCATGCCCCCTCCCCGTTAACTGCATTTTGTGCAGGAACGCAATCGCCAACGTTATTCCTCCCTCTGGAAGCTCCACGGGCCTGGAAAGGGGTGGGGACCCGGTTCTTGAGTGAATGTCCACCCTGGGTGCTGTCCAGGAGCCGCGGGCCCTTCTCTGGCTGGTCCGGGCCGGCAGTGAGCCCTCCCGCTTCGGGAGCCCCTCTGTCCGGGACCATTCGTCTTCCACCTTCCCCACCGCCTCCGAGGTCAGGTTGTGACGTGGACCGTGGAGCTCTGTACTTGTGGGCAGTTGGGTTGGCTGGTTGGGGGTAGGCTGGCTGTGGGGGAGGGGGCCGGGTGGGGGGAGGGCCTGGTGGGCTGGTGGCAGACCCACACTCCCTTCTGACTGTCATGCACTGATGGCCGTTTGTTGTCTGCACGTTTGGTCAACCAGAGGGACCACCAGCACCTGGTGACAGTGCACAGTTGTCCTCCTCTCCTCCCTCACCTTCCGTCTCAAGGAAAAGAAAACTCTGGAACCATGAAGTGAGTGATGCTCACTCTTCCATTAAGTCCCTTATTTCCATCTTATTATGAAATGTCCCAGGTTCTTAGGGACACCCAGCGGCAGTCCCCGAGCTGGAGCTCACCAGGGACGGGGGCGGTGTCCGCCGTTCCCAGGTCCCGATGCTCTCCATGGCACGTTTCCCTTGGTGACCCCTCGTGCCGTGGGCGGCTGCTTCCCACTCACATGGGAGCCGACAGCCTGCGTGTCCAAGCGAGCCCCAGCGAGGACCCCATGGAGACGCCGGGGGCTCCGTGACCCTTCTCCCCTGTCCTGGCTGCAGGTTTTGGTTTATTTCCTAGTTTAAGAGTCTTAGACTCGATGTGTCTTCTAGTTTGACAGTCCTTCACATTTACATTACTTTAATCCTTTTTCTACTGGTTTTAATCATACTTATCAGAAAATTGAGCCTTGATTTTGGGCAGAAGTGGTTTTCCTGGTGATTTATTTCCCTGGGAACGCATGTTGGCTACGCCCAGTTGGAGGTGCCATGTCCATCATCTTCCCGGCAAACAGCAAAAGTCCCACGTAGAATTTCCTGTCACCGTGACTCTCTCCCCTGTGTGTCCCTGGAGTTTGGGGACAATTCTCTCTCGGGGGCCTGTGCTTTTCCTCTGCCCATTCCCAGGCTTTCCTGTGATTCTGTCACCCTGGAACTTAGCGTCCCCTCAGCTGCTTCGCATTTTGTCTCAGGGACTTTTCTAGGACAGGTGAGCTCGCGGACGTCCCATCTGTCTTGGGTCCCAGGGTCCAGTGGGTTAGAATTGTGACCGGTGATGCCGTTTGCTTGTTTTGAGGGAAGCGTTCGGGGTACGGTCCCTGCCCCTGCCCTGCCCCTCCCTCCGGCCTGCGTCTGGGGGCTCTGCACGTCTGCCTCCCACACGACAGGCTCACGTGCCCCCACGTCCAGCACACTCTTCCCTTTCTCACGCTCCAGCCCCACGTCTGCCTTTCTGCCCGCCTGGGGCTGCGTCTCTGCTGCGATTCTACTCATTCTCTCTCTCAGAACTGCCAGGAACCCGCACCAGTTGCTCATTTCTTGGTGTTAATGCCACACACCGCCCACAAAATTAAACCGAGCCTCGCCCGGGTCTTGTCAGTGAAGCCCGCAAGAGTGAGCAACCAACAGAGCTTGGAAAGCGCGTTGTTCCCGGGGTCGTGGCCACCCTCGCGGGGACAGTCATGGCGTCACGCTGCCGATGAGGATGCCACGCCCAGGCCCTGGTGCCCCTGTGCACACTGAGTGGAGATAATGGAGATTTCCTCTTCCTTTGGGTGACCAAGGTCATGGTGTCCTTGGTGTCCACGGTGTCCCCAGGACCCCACTCTCCTGAGCTCTGCCGGGGTTTGTCCATCAAGGGCGCAGCCCGCAGGGTGCGGTGGGCCGGGCCGGGGCGCTTTCCCGCTGGTTTCCCGCAGCCCCGGTTTCTGCGTGGAGCCTCCCGTCAGTCCCGCTGGTGGAAGGGGCGCTTGCGTGCCCGCCCGCGAACAGACTCCGGGCCGCACGGCCCGTCACCCGTAGCTTCACCGCGAGTGCACCGCGGGCCCGCGTTCTAGAACCTTCTGAGGGCGGGCCAGCCTCACCCCGGGGGCGAAGGCCCGCGAGCTCTGGCCGCACTCTCACCCACAGGTTAACACAGCACCTGCCTGACGTGTGTCCCGTTTGAGGCCCTCATCCAGCGCGGACCGTCACTTGTTCACGCGGACTCACGGCCACCGGCGCCCGCACCGGGAGGAGGCGTGTGTGCCGCGCGGGTTTCTTCTGAGGCACTGACCGGCCGTCCTGCCCGGAACCGCCCGCCGGGACCTCAGCCCTGGGACGTGGGGCCAGTTTAACCCGAGAACGCCCGCCAGCGGGCACAGCACTCTCGGCCCACGGTTCCCAGGAGGCGGCTGCCCACGTCCTGAACCAAAATGACGTTTGTTCACACGAGTCATCTTCTCTCGTCAGGTGTGACACCCCAGAGCTTCACCCACGGCCGCCCGGCCCTCCCACCTCTTCCAGGTCCGAGCGGGAGCACGGATGAGAGGGCGGGTCCCCAGAGGCCCCCTGCCGCTGGCCGCTGCTCACCTCCCACACCGCGTGTGGGTTCCCCGTGCGCTCAGTGACACACGCACCGCTCCAGACCCTCTGGGGACGCGGGCGTTTGTACACCCGGCGTCCACCCTCTTGTCCGCCCCAGCCCTGTGTTTCCGGCTGCAAACCCGCACCCTTACCTCCTCACCGTCCCTCAGTTTCTGGGGCTCATGCTCGCTGCTAATGTTTTTTAAGGAACATTTTTTCACCAAAAAAATAGTTTTTTTTCCCTAACAATTAGACACCCAAATGCCTGAGTCAGGGGACGTCACCGTGGACATGGGGCTTGGTCCACACAGGGTGCCAGTGGGCGCAGGTGGTGGGAGGCGGGGTCACCCGCAGGGCCGTGAGAGCTGATGGGCAGGGGACCCTGGCGGGCAGGTGACCTGAGGAAAGCACCACAATCAGCATCTCCTTACAGGTGAACCGGGGCCTCCCGCTCACGCTGACGGACACACACGCTCTCTCTGCAGCCGGACCTTAGGATGTCCTGTCTCACGTTGCAAAGCCCCCATCCTCTCTGACTGCCTCGGACACGCTGGGACCCTGCGGGGGACACCAGCTTCGTGGCTCACCTGAGTGCTCCCCTCTGTTCTGGGCCAGTGGAGACGCTTCTGCCGAGGACGGAGCTGTCCTGGTCCCCGCCGCAGGCCCCGCGCCCTGGGCCCCACCTGGCCGCCCAGAGGTCGGTGGGTGGGCAGTGTAGCCACAGTCCCAGGGAGCGGGGGCCGCTCTGGACGAAAGCCGCTGGCTCCCGGCATGCCCTGGGGTGAGCTCCAGAGGCTGCCAGACCGATATCCGGAGGCCTGTGGAAATCTCCTGGAGATTTCTCATCCACCCTCTGAGAAAACAGCTTTTCCAGCTTCTGTTTTCATCTTCAGCAGGGCCGAGTACGACTTGTCGTAGGACGGCTCTGGCTGCCGCAGGCCCGTGCGGGGTGCCTGCGAGAGGCTGCAGCAGGGCCCCTAGGTGACACTTGCTGAACGGACCTGCCCCGAGCCCCTGCTCATACTCGAGGCACCATGCTCGGCCCCACGCACCCCTGCACTGCGGCTCTGCACTTGGATTTTGCAGACGAGCGAACCACACTCAGAAAAGCAAAGCGACCTGCCCGAGGTCCAAGGCTGGGAGGCGGCAGCCCCACAGAGGGGCTGCTGGTCAGTGCTCGCAGCTGGCTCTCAGATGGGGTCATGATCTGTGGCGGCTTCCGATTTCACTCTGACCGACCAGCTCACAGCTCTAGAAATTCAGCTCCAGCTCACCCTGCAGGCCGGAACCCCAGCCCCGGGAACTCAGGCCTCTGCGACCCCGGGCTCAGCCCTGGGGACTCCCAGCGAAGGCCCAGGTGGGTGTAGACGCAGGCCCGCTGCCCTGCCCCTGACCTCTCTAGCCCGAAGAACTCCCGGGCATGCAGGTAGATTTTCATCACCCTCTGCTGTGGGGTAGCCGCAGCCACAGCCGTGGGACCCGGGGTGGACGTCATGTCTCTTGGGGACAGGGCGTGGGTTCAGTTCCAGCTGCTTCGGCTTGCCAGCAATCAGCAGGCCTGGCAGCCGGGAAGCGGTGGGAGTCGGGGGCAGGGAGGGAGGGAATGAGCCCGTGGTCAGGACTCCACGCTCCATCTGAAGCCCAGAGCAGCACCAAGCAGGCCCGTCCCAGAGGGGACACCTTGCCGGCTCTGAAAAGCGGTGGAGGCGCTCTCTGCCCTGTGCCAGCAGCACATCTGAGTGCCCACTGTGGCCACACTCTGGACACAGGACTCCGAAGTGCCCGGTGGGTGACCACGTGTACCGGAGAACTGACTGTCTGGGCAGCAAGGGAGACATGCAAACACCAGACCTGCGATGCCTCAGGGAGACACAAAGCATCTGAAGGAAACAGAGAAACAGCCCGGGGCAGAGGTCACACGGGAGAAGGTGTGATGGGACACTTCCAGGCCATCCCGGACCCCCTGGGAAGGAAGGGAAGGAGGACATGCTGGATAGAGGGGTCCTGAGAAAAACCCCTGGTGTCAGGACCAGAAAGGCGCTCAGTCCTGGGACCCCCGCAGCTCCTCCGTGTGCACGTGCTCCCACCCCCGACCAGGACCCTCTAGGAGCAGTGGTGCGTGCTGGTGGGCGTGAGTGGCCCCGGGGAGAACGGTTCCAGAGCTCAGGAAAGGCCATCCAGGATGGGCGTCGAGGGCCCAGAGCAGCTGCCAGCAGTGCCGGGAGCTCTTCCTCCCGCAGCAAAGCGGTCTCCGCAGGGCCAGCCTTGGGGACCACAGACTTCCCGTCTCAGCAAATGTGAATTCAAGACCACTCTGGGCTCCCCGTGTGCTCCCCGGAGTGGGTAGGACTCAGCGTTGATTGCAGAACCTTCCAGAAGGGAGGGTGAGGTGTTGAGAGCAGGGTCTAGGGGTTTGGGATTCATGTGTCTTTCCGTGCCTCAGTCTCCTCTTGTGCCAACGGGGAGGAAGCGGCTCCTGCCTCTGTGTGTGTCTCCCGTCCTGAGAGCGGGGTCTCTGCAGCAGCAGGGAGCATGCGGACCCCACACCTCGCCCTCCTGCCGTGAGCAGGGTGGGTGGTGAGGACCAGGGTGAGTGCTGGGTGCCCCGCCCCCACCTACCCGCTCATGTTAAAGCCCCTGTGGGCGCGGGAGCCCCACTCAGCGACCCGGCCCAGCGCAGCCAGCAAGCATGGGGTGCCCCCCTCACCCCCCTCGGCACCTTCCTTCCAGGGTCCCTCCCAAGGGCCACCAGCGGCAGAGGCCCCGACTCCAGAACAAAGCCCCCCCTCGCAGTGGGTGTAACGGTGTTTGCAGCGGCCCCCCTACCTCTGTGGCTGGAGGAGCTGCCAACACGCGCTCCCCTCCGGCCTCGCCCAGTGGGGAGGGTCAAGAGAGGAGAGGATGCGAGGCCCTGGGAGGTCACGGCCCCTGTGGCGGCCGTGGCGGGAGCTCGGCCTCTCGTCCTGCGGCAGCTCTGCAGACAGACCTGAGCGCCTCGCCCCGTATCAGGGGCTCTCCCTGGCCGAGCGGGCGGGAGATGACGGATCACACAACGCCCGGCCGTGAGGGCACAGGGGCCCTTGCTGACCCAGCCCATCCTGACCGCCTCGCCTGCCCCTCCCACCTTCCCTGTGCCTGGAACCTCAGCCTCAACCCCCAGGAGGTGATCATTTCCCAGGCGTCCCCCGGGGTGGGCAGGAGGCAGACGTGCTGACAAAGGTCCCCTGTCCTCGTGTTCACTGCCTGTTCCCAAGGGGCCCTGCCCGAGAACCCGGGAGGGCAGACAACAGCGACCATTCCTTCGATGGGGACGTCCTCACCGGCAGGACACATGCGTGTCGCTCACGACCAGATGCTGGCCATCCCGAGGTCAGGACAGGGACAGCGAGATGCTGGGCAGGCTCTGCCTGGACAGGTGCAGTCTCACCTGTTGGATCCGTGCACAGCCGGGCGGACATGGTAGAGGACTGGCCAGCGTCCTGGGCCCCAATGAAGGTGAGCGAACCCCTGCTCACTGGCCTGAGCAGCTCCTCGTGGTGGAGCCCCAACCGCTCTTTTCTCCTCCTCTCAGGGGGAGAGGCCAGTTCACAAGGACAGTGGTGGGTGACCTCACATCTGGGCTTGCAGCTGGGCTCTGCTCAGACTCCAGGGCCCCGTCCACCTTCTGGTCCCGCCTGGAGCGTGGGGGGACCTGCTCCGGCTCAGCAGCACGTGGCGTGGGGAGGGCCCCGCGACCACGACGCCCCACGGACACCCGTCTGCCCACGTGCTGTCGCTTCCCTTGTTAGCACAGCCGCGCGGGGACCCCCTCCGGAGGGGCCAGCCGGCACCTGCCCGCAGCCGCGCCCACCGGCCGTGCTCTGGGGGCCACCGGCACAAACCCAGATCAAACCACACGGAAAAGTTCTGCCAAACCAGTGAACACACGCCCACGCCCCGGACAGTCCACCTTCTTCTCCGGGACCGAAACCGCACAAAGAAAATGGCCACAAGCTGCTGCTGGGGGCTGGGAACCCGCTCCCCCTCCCCTCCTCTCCCCCTCCCCTCCGCTCCCCTTCCCCTCCTCTCCCCTTCCCCCTCCTCGGGGCGTGGCCTACCCTCCCCATCCCTGTCCCCGCCCCGCCCATCCGGGCGTGGCTTCCAAGCCCCGCCCACCAGCCCCTCCTTTGGGCGTGTCCTCCCCACCCGTCCTGCCCCACCCCGCCCCACGACCCCAGCCCCGCCCCCCAGAGGCCGAGGGTCCCTCCCGCGCAGAGCCTGGCGTGCGCTGGTGCCCTGGTCGCCTGACCGGGCCCCGCCGAGGGCGCGGCAGTTCCTTTTGGCGCGAACTTGCTGCGCGGCGTAGAGGACTCACGTGCAGCAGGAGCTCGAGCTCTGGGCAGCGGCGGAGACCGCGGAGCCTCCCACGGGGCTTGCCCCGGAGGTTCCAGGTGCAGCGAGCGTGCGGAGGTCGGGGTGCCCGGAGGTCAGGGGACCTGGAGGTCGGGGAGTGTGGATGTTGGAGTGCATGGGGGTCGGGGCGCTTGGAGGTCAGGTCAGGGTCCGCGTGCAGTGAGTCTCCATCCCCGCCTGGTTTGCCCAGGGAGGCGGCGGCGTCCCCCGCGGGTCCCCAGCACAAGCAGCTGTGTCCACATGAGCGGCTCCCCAGCTTCTGACTGGGCACCTGCGCTGGCTTCCGGTGGAGGCTGGGCTCTCCTGGCTGCCAGGACCGGCCGCTGAACCAGGGAGGGGACGCTGGACCAGGGCCAGGTCCCACCCTTGCAGGCGGCCCCACCCGAGGGGCCCTGCTGCTGAGACTCCGACCGACGGAGGCGTCCTCAGTGCTGCTGCTGCGGCGCGTGTTCCAGCCCCGCGTCCAGAAACCACTGTCTGTGCCTCAGTTTCTCCCTGGTCAGATGTGGAAGGAAGGAGCTGGGAGGCTCTGCCCAGACCACGCTGTCTGGTTGTTTCAGCCAGAGGTTTGGAGCCTTGTTTCCCTGGTGGGTGCAGCCATGGGTGGTGGGTGCTGGAGGTCAGGTGGGGTGACCAGTGCGATGTTGGACGTCTGGGGTCGGCCCAGAGACCACACACTGACCTCAGGGGCTGGGGTCCCGTCCTGCCCAGGACGCACACTGGTCACTATGTGCCCCCCTCACCCGGTCACTCTGAGCTCTCCAGGGGCAGCTCTGCTAAGTGCCTCAGGCCTCCGGCTAGAGCCCTGAGTGAGACTGGAGAAAAGATCAGTCCGTTACCGCACTAGGACATCTAGGGACAAATCCGTCCCATGTCCCGGCGGACCCAGGCAGTTCAGAGAGGTGGGGGACTTGGTACCTTGCACAGCGACAGGTTTGGTCAGCTCGTGCTTCCCTCACACTCCTGTGACATGCGAGCTGCTGCTCTTAGAGGTAATGTTCGAACCAGGCTTTGCTCCAGAAGAGCGGCGCGCACGTCTAGGACCAAGTCGGCCTCAAGAGTCAGTCCATTAGGGGCGCCTGGGTGGCTCAGTGGGCTAAGCCTCTGCCTTCGGCTCAGGTCATGATCTCAGGGTCCTGGGATCGAGCCCCGCATCGGGCTCTCTGCTCGGCGGGGAGCCTGCTTCCCTCTCTCTCTCTGCCTGCCTCTCTGCCTACTTGTGATCTCTCTGTCAAATAAATAATAAAATCTTAAAAAAAAAAAGGGTCAGTCGATTACTGCGATCGGTGGCTGGAGCTGGCCTACCCGAGACGTCCTGCTCAGTCCTGGACACCCAGCTCGGAGCATGCTGGCTGGTGTGGAACGCGCCGTCCCGTGGACCGTGGCCTGGGTGACTCTTTTCTTAGGGGCTTCCAGGTGTCGTGGGGGTGAGGACCTTCCTTGGGGTGGGTCTCTGTCACCCAGGCTTGCTGCTGAACCTGGGAAACACACTCTGCATCTTCCAGAGACCCGGGCTGGTCTCTGGCTCAGCCAGGGGCAGGTGCGTCCACAAGGGCCAGGCGGGCGGGCTCCTGCCCAAGCCCCAGCTGGCTGTCATAGAGAGATGAGTTTGGGGCTGGGGGGAGGAGGGTGTGGGGAGGTTGAGCGGAGGCACCTGCCTGTCCTGGTTTTTTGGTTTCCAGATTCCAAGAACTTCCAGCCCCACAGCTCTGCTCCCCAGCTGGGGGAGGGCGGCCGCGTGGGCTCATTCTTTTTTGCTTTTGCACCAAAAGCAGCCGCAACAAAAGTCCAAACATGTCGGCAGTGGAGACCAAACCCTTTATCTGCCCGGACCTTTGGAAATAGGTCTACAATAGGACATGATTTCGTTCCTCTAATTTATAAAAAATGCACATTAATAAAAGGAAAACTTTCCCAGAATCACATTTTGTAGAGAAATGGGTGTCAACACCGAGTCGTACATATTTGCTCTGCTGGGTAGGTAACATCGTATCCGATTCGTGCTTCACGCTACGCAGTACGTGGTCTCCGTGGGGCCAGCCAGGCCCCGGGCAGACGCTGTCCTCAGGGCGGCTGGACCCCACCGCTCAGGGCATGCTGCCTTGGCCAGACGCCACTACAAGGTGAACTTCAAATAAGAAGGGGCAGATGTACTTTGCTGTGAAAGAACACTTTACAACGATGTTTTGGTAAGTCCTTTATTTCTCTTTCTGACAGTTTTTGTCATTGTCCCCTGGGGTCGCCTCCGGGATGAGGGTTGCCACAGTCCGTCCTTCCCCAGGCACTTAACCCCCTAACAAGCAGGTCCAGGAAGCGGCTGCCTTGCACTGGGCGCTGCCAGCACTCAGCCGGGCTGGGAAGGCGCCCCGCGGGGTCCCAGAAAAGCAAGGGGGATGGGTTGTGTTTCCCACTGTGCCCAGCAGGTGGTGCTGTCGGCCAAGGAAAACGGGACATTCCTGGGACCTGCTGCTGGCCTTTGTCCTAAGGGGGGGGAGTCTAAGCAGGGGTCGTGCCCCACCCAGGGCCCTGGGCTCCCGCCGGGGCGCTCATGGGGTGAGGCTCACGCGATGGGCATGCCCAGTGAGGGGGGCCTGGCTCCCACCGCGTGATCCAGTCTGATGGCCCCAAACAGCTCCCGCACCATCGGGAGTCCAGCTTTGGTGGAGATGCTGGGGCAGTTGGTTCCAGGTGGACGGGCAGGTGGATGGGCAAAGAGCCACGGGGACGGCATTGCCAGCCCTCCTCGGGACGCAGAGCAGTTCCCAGCTCGTACCCGGACTCAGCTGCTCTGCTTTGAAATGAAGGGGCCCCACAAAGTGACCCTGGGAGGGACGTCCGGGGCTAACGTCGCGTGAGGCTGTTTACCCCCAGGAGGCTGCCAGTTTGCAGGGTCACCCTCCTGGGAACAGCCAAGGAGGAAGGGAAACGAGCCGGGGACAGTGACACAGGGGCCTGGGAAGGGAGCGGACAGACCCCTGCACACTCAGTCCAAGTGCTTCGATCACAACAAAACTGTCATCAGTCCTGACAGCGCGTCCCCCAGAACTGTGCCGGCAAAGTTACCAATACCCCAAACAATCTGACTGCACGAGAGTGAAGATTCCCCACAAGTGACAAGAGGGGAGCACATAAGGCCCAGCTCAGAGTCCCTGGGGTCGTGGCCCATCGATGCTTAATTATCCCGGGACCCTCACGATCCGGGACTGTCCCTTCCAGCTCCCTGGTGGTTCATCAGGAGCTTATAAGGCGACGCTAAGCACACGGGCACCACGACACGAAAGACCAGCTCCCAGAGCAGACAGTGCAGGGACTCGCAGCCGCTGGCCGCGTCCTGGCCCTGATGCCGGTGGGAGTCAGAGCGGCCGCGGAGGAAGACGGGCCTTCAGGGCTGTCTCCATTCCCGTCTTTCCTCCGGAAATCCCGCGGAGCCTGAGCCCGGGATGCCTCACGTCCCAGGCCCGGGAGCACGTGCTCTGCGAAGTTTGCAGGCTCCGAGGGGGACATGGGCTCCTCGTGGTGAGGGGACCAGTGGGCTTTCCCCAGGGGGCCTCTGGTAGCAGTTGAACCGCTGTGACTGTCGTACTGTGGCTGTAAGATCTGGGCCCCAGCTCCTGCGCGAAGCAGCACTGTGGGCAGGTCACAAGCAGTGGGACCCGTGTCACAGACGTTCCCGTTTCCTCCCCCACGTCCTCCCTCCTGGCACGTCAGGAAGAGCTGCCCCAGCCTGAGCGGGTCTCTGTCACTAACTGCGCTCCACGTTCCGGGGCAGGGCAGGCTTCCGCTCTCCCATCTTCCCATCTCCCAGCGGGGCTGGCAGGGATGGGCCACCTGGGCAGGGGCTCAGCCAGCCACTCGGTCATTCGAGTAGAAAACTAGGGCCACGATGATCACTGCTTTGTGGGGGTTCACAGCCCCTCGATGTGCTGAGGCTAAGAGCCCTCAGAGGGGTGTCGGGCTGTTACCTGGGGGTGTGCCAGGTGTCCAGAGCAGGGCCTGGCAGTCCCCTCAGGGCGACACAGATCTGAAGAGCCAACCTCCTCCCACTGCTGCCCGCAAGGAGGACTGACGGTAGGGGACACTGCCAGGAGGGGACACCTCCAGGAGGGGATGTAGTGGGGAGGGGACACAGGCGTGGAGCATCCGTGGCTCAGAGGTGGCTGAGACGCAGGACGCAGGGAAGCGGGTGGGTGGGCAGGAAACAGGGAGGAAGGAGGAGGAGCAGCAACAGGACCCCGGGGAAGACAGCCCTGAGTACAGGGAAGATGGCATGTCCTGGCATGTCGGGTGGGACGGAGTGGCTTGTGAGCGTGTGGACGCGTGTGGAGGCCGCCCCGGGAGGAGTGGGTCAGGCAGGTGCGCACAGCCCGTGGCCACATGGCCCAGGGTTTCCTCGCCCGTGCCGGGTTGTGACTTGAGCAGGCGCTAGGTCAGCCTCGATTTGGGAAACGGCCTCAGTGGTGATTTTGGAAACACGGAACTGCTGTCACGCAGTGACCCGGGTCAGGGTGTCCTGCTTGCCGTCCGACAACGGGCAGGGCCGCCACCGTCCACCCTGTCACCAGCCCATGAAAGTGAGCGTGAAGGACACGTGACTCTGGCTTGGGGAGCAGCGCACGCTTTATTCAGGTCGGACACGCCAGGATCGAGGTTGTTTCCAGAGGGAACCTCCTCCCCCTTGTCGTGTGGGAAGGGGGTTCCCGTCCCGAGAAGGACCATCCGCTCCCAGGAATCAGCCCGCGGCCGCCCCGTCACACCCGGCTTCCGAGCGTGTCACCGCGGTTCCTACTGGCAGGGAAGGATTTGGGATCTGCAGTCCGGGTCCTGCGGGAGAGAACTGGCTCTGAGCATGTGGACAGACCGGGCACCTGCCGGGGCCCCAGGGTCTCAGTCAGCTACTTGGGGGCCCAGGGACACGCGGGGTCCCAGGGTGCCTGGAAGGGTCCTCGTGTGTGCGTTCCAACGGGGCATTTCGGTTCCCTGCTTCGGGGTGGGCGTGGGTCCTGCTCTGTGGTGGGACGCATCGGGGGCAGGGCCAGCCAGCTCCGAGTGTCCCAGGGCCGGCCGCCCACCTAGGTCTCGGACAGGCGAGCGCACGCCCGACTTCAGTGTCGCCCGTCCTGCGCTCACGCACACAAAGTAAAAATAGCCACACGCGAGTCTAGACTAGTTGTCTCCACACTACTTGAAATGACTCTGTTTTTTTTTTTTTTTTTTATAAAAAGTGCTTTCTAGAAGTCAACATTTCCTTTCAGTTTCTGGCTGTCATGTTCGGCCGAGACTTGGGGTTACACGGAGGCAAGCGCCTGCGGTGGGGTCAGTTCCGACCCAGTGTGGACACACGGGAAGCGTCGTCCCGGCTCCCGCCCCAGCTTACTCGTTCTAGTACGTCTGCACTTTCCAAGCAAAGTAGGTTACACTTGTCACAAGTCATCCTCCGGGAAGAACGCAGCTTGACGAGCCGGGATCGCACAGCGAGCGCAGGGGACCGGACTGGCGTGGGCAGCCACGCGGGGTCAGGGGACCAGGGTCTCCGTGATGGCCTCCTGGTCTGAATGGGAACATGGACGAGTGGGGACCCTGTGCCCACCCAGGCGTGCACCCACCTGCCCTGCGCCCCGAGTGGCGGCAGCAGGCTGTGACGCGTTCCTGTCCTGGCACGTGCCGAGACCCCGCTGGCAGGCTCCTCTTCCACCCGAGTCTGCGATGCACAGAGAGGCTTTCCGGCCGGCGTGTGCCCTGCGGACAAGCACACACCTGCTGACGGAGGCGAACGCCCAGGGCCCGTCACACACATTGTCATGCTGTCACTGTGGCTGGAGGGGGTGCTGGGACCCCGGGCACCTCCGGATCCATCCAGGGAGGAGCCCAGGGCCACTGTTAGCTGGAGGACAGCACCAGGTGCGGCGTGGCCTGCACCGTTCTCCGTCAGCCGAGGGGCGTCAGGAGGCCGCTCAGCCTGTCCCGCACCAGGAGCCCTGCCGCAGCCGGGGAACGACCTGCCCAGAGACACCCCAGCCCCACCCGCCGAACTCGTCTGACCCCACTTCTGATTTGTGCAGGTGGGTTCGGAAAATCCCTGTCCCCAGGAGGAGAAGCTGAACTGGGGACAGGCCCCGTGCCCGCTTCCTGCCTTCTGTTTCCAGGCGACTGCACGCACGTGGCGCCTGGACGCAGATTTCCTGAGCCGGGACCGTCTGGGAGGCGCGCTGTGCTCCTCTCCGGCGGGAGCCGGTCCTGGCTGCGGCTCTCCCTCGTCAGACCCTCCCAAAGCGGGGGGCCCCCAGGGTGAGAACAGCACCCCCAGGGCGACCCACGGCGCTGGAGGCGTCACAGGGAAGTCAGGAAATGTGACGGGGGGAATGGGCGTGGACAGGACGCACTGGGACCCCCGGGCGCACTGAAAGCCACACGCAGAGGGGACCAGCCAGCGACTCGTGTCTGCCTGGAAGAGAAGGAAGACTTCGGCTAAACCACATAACTCGGCAGCCCTGGGAGCAGGAGCAGCTGAGCCCGAGCTGCGGAGGGAAGGACGGGGACACCAGAGCAGAGGTGACTCAGGGGTGCTGCTCGACCTCACCCCCGCCTCCACCCCTGCCCAGCTCTCTGTGGCGTCGGCGCCCCATGGGAGCGGGAGCAGGCGCGTCCTCCACGGAGCCAGGATAGCGGGCCGGGCGCGTGGCACCATCCTCCCAGAAGCTCAGGCTGCGGGAGCTTTGGATGAAGCCACGCGGCCTCGCGGTGAAGGGCTGGGAGGGAAGCAGGTGTCCAGATGCCAGGGCGTTGGTGGATTGTGGGCGCGGAGTCCCTGGTGTGGACACAGCAGGCCGAGGGCCAGGGGGAGCCCCACCCACAGGCTGTCCGGCGAGAGCTCCCTCAGAGGGCAGTCCCTCAGGGCGGCCACTGGGGATAGGGCCCCTCCCTCCGCACCCTGTGCCCTTCCAATCCCTGAGGACAAATTCCTTCTCTAAGCTTCCCTCTCCCTGGGAGGACCACAACCAGGAGGCTTCAGGCTCTCGACCAAATTCACGACCAAAGGCCTTCTGTTGTGGGGAGGGGAGCGGATCCCAGGCGGGGCGCATGGGGGCACTTCTGGGCGTGGCTGTAGGTTCGCCTCCCCGAGGGCTTAGGTGCTGTCCGTCTGTCCCCACAGAGGCCGTGGGCCAGCAAGTCAGTGTCTGTCTGTGCCGCTCTCAGTGCCTCTGCGGCCCGACGGCTCTTCTCTCTGCCGCCACGGGTGACCAGCAACCCAGCCGAGCTTCAGGGCGGGTATGAAGACTCCAGAGTCCAGACTCCAGGGCAGTGGACATTGTCTTCCCAAGTGCCCATTTGACGGACGGCTGTCCGTCTTAACAAGAACCCCTTTTCCTTGTGTGGGGCCTGAGGTATCTTTGCATCACGGTACGACGGCGGCCGAGGTCTGACGGAGACGATACGTGAACTTAAGTCATGGTGATGTTGGATTTTCACAGCGTGGACATTCAGTCCACGGGATCGCAGCTCCCAGCCCCTCCACCGGTGTGTGCCCACGGCTCATTTTCACCGACTGGTGGGGGGCCGGCTGCGGCTTTCAGTTACCGCCCGTGTCGGAGTTTCTAAGACCAGGCGGTCCGTAAAACAGGCTCCTTCCTGCCGCCAGCCCCACCGGAAACTAGAGACGCTGCTCAGCAGTTGATGTGACGGCCAGCAGTCGGCAGGGCTGCCCTGGAGGGGACGTTGCTGCTGACCAGTCAGTGGTTTGTCGGAATGACAGCCTGACGGTCTCGGCTCTGATGGCGACGGTCCAGACGGTCATGGTCCGGACGGTGACGGTCCTGACAGTCCTGACGGTGATGGTCCTACGGTCCAGACGGTGACGGTCCTGACGGTCCTGACGGTGACGGTCCTGACGGTCCTGACGGTGACGGTCCTGACGGTCCAGACAGTGACGGTCCTGACGGTCCTGACGGTCTAGATGGTGATGGTCCTGACAATCCTGACGGTGACGGTCCTGACGGTCCTGACGGTGACGGTCCTGACGGTCCAGACGGTGACGGTCCTGACGGTCCAGATGGTGACGGTCCTGACAGTGTAATCACACTCGGTGCCAAAGCAACCTGGGAGGAGGCCAGGGGCGCAGTGGCCAAGGCCAGGCCCCAGACCCGACAGAGCCCAGGTCTTGACGCTGCTGTAGCTCTTCCCAGCGCAGGCAGGTGACACCTTCCAGCAGCAGACGCCCCAGCACTGCTGTGTGCGATTCCTGGGGCATCAGTAACACCATGCCACGGCCCCACGGGCTTGGCCACGGAAACCTGTTCTCGCCCCTTCCTGCAGTGCGGACGTGTGGGGTCATAATGCTGGCAGGGCTACTCCTTCTGAGGTTTTGGGGGATTTGCTGGAGACCCTTGGCTGGTAGACGTGTTCCCCCGGTCTCTGCCCTGATCTTCACCCAGCCTTCACTCTGTGTGTGTCCCCGCCTGTCCCTACTCCCCCTTCCTGCGAGGACAGCAGTCCTCTTGGACCGGGGACACCTACTCTGACACAACCTCCTCTCAACTCATTATGTCCCCAATGACACTGCTTCCAAATACGGCCACATGGCAGGGTCCCAGAGGTCAGGTCTCCAACATTTGATTTTGGGGGACATGTTTCAGCCCGTAACAAAGACCTCATGTGATCGAAGGGAGAGTTTAACGACATCACGGCTGGATTCACCAAGCCCGTGTGACACACGGCCGTCGCGCGTTCCCCTTAGCTGGTACATTGAAGGAATTCCCGTCTGCACTGTGGTGACCATTGGTTCTGCCAGAAATCACGAGTCTGTTAAAAGTGTGTCACTTAAATACCATTTACCAGGCAGAGGAAAACCCACGTGTCGGGTGAAGAAGTGGGGGCAGGGTGGTCTTGGAGTTTACAGGAAGTGGGTGTTGGATTTACTCCTGGGATGGGACGCCTGGGCAGGAGGAGCACAGCCGTCCCGTCCCAGACCTGCTGCTCCCAGGGGCTCAGACAGGGGCCAGGCTGCAGCTGGCCGTGGTTGGGGACACCTCGGAACATGACGGTGACCTCCTGGCAGTGACAGCTGACCACCAGGGCTCTGGGTTTGCATGTAGCAACCTTGCTGCTGCAGAGGGGCGGGGGGACGGGGCCGTGGCGAGGGCACCGCTGAGCTCCGTGGCGTGTCCCGGTAGACGCAGGGCGGTGGGGTGTGGGCCGGCCCTGGGCAGACGGGGCCAGCAGTGGCGTCTTGCAGTTTATGCCGTTGGGAAGGCTGAGCAAGACTCCGAGCTCGAGTCCTCGGAGCTGCTGGTCAGGAGGCGGGAGGACAGGTGCAGACCCACATCCCGAAGAGACGCCCAGATCCGCTCCGAAGGCCCCACCATGTGGCCGGTTTTGACGTAAAGGTCCAGCTTTACGCCAATCAAGTTCCCTATTTGCAGGAGTCTGCGCCGGGGGCGGGGCCGCTGACGAGCCGGTTTTATCCGGGGGGACCTCTACTCTCCCAGACATCTGGGGACAATTTCAGCCCCTAATGGGAGCATCCCCGGCAACCCGCTGCCACTGCCAAGCCCCCGTCCCGAGTCTCCAGCCACGGGCCGTGGACGCCCCGAGGTGTGTGGGCTTTTCCACCTTCATTGCTGAAGGCATAAGAGCCAGAAGTCGGAGCTTTGTACAAAGTCGCTCTGGGCTGCAGGGGTTCGGGGCACCGAGCGTCTGCACTGGCTTCTGGAACACACAGGGGAGGAGATGGCCTCTGGGCTTTGGGGGGGAGGACTTACCACCTGCAAACCACCGTCCAGGTGAGACCTGCCAGGCCGCCAACCAGCAGGGCGCCCAAGGCGATGGAGACCCAGGACGCCTTCGGGAGCCTCCCAGAGTCTGGGGAGAGGGAGGCGTTAGTGAGCCCCCCTGCCGAGGGCTGCGGCCAGCGTGCCCCGAGAGCCCCAGGCCAGCCTGGTCCTGCTTCTGCCCGCGACTACCCAGGGAAGCCATTTCTCAGATGAGCTCTCACGGGTGCGAGGAGTCAGGAGACCTGCCGGGAAGCACAGCCCACGCCCAGCCGTGCATGATGGCGGTGGGACACGCGTGGTCATGGGCATAATGCCGCTGGGAGGACGACCCTGCTGCCATCCGTAAAGTGTACGGTCGACCTGCCCTCCCCTCCCGCGGAGGACGCACGAGGAGGGAACTCTTACCTACGCACGTCATCCCATCCTCCGCCAGCACGTAGGGGTCTGTGCACTCACAGCTGAAGCCACCCTTGGTGTTCCTGCACCGGGCCGATGGGTGGCAGGGAGGGGCTGTCACGTCTTCACACTCGTTGACATCTGCACAGACCACATGGAGGTCAGGCCGTGTCCCTGTCCTCCCTGTCCCCCGCTGCGGCCCTCACCCTGGAGGCTCCTGTCCACTCCCTGCTCAGAATCGAGAACCCCCAGTACCCTGGCAGCCATGTCCCTCTTGGGCCACATCCGTCCCTGAGCACCCGATTTCTTGCCGTCAGTGGGTGCCCTCTGAGGTCAGCTCAGCAGACAGCCGCACTGTGACCATGCTGCATGGTGTGGCCGGATCCTGTGGGGACACCCACCCACACTGAAGCTGGTCCCGTCCCACCCGGGCTGCTGCTCACATCCGTTCAAGCTCTGTGCCAAGTGCTCCTGCGCGAGCGGAGGTGACTGGGGCGTGGGTGGGTTGTGTCGTGGGGCCACCGGCAGCCACAGCGAGCTGGGCACACTGGGCAGCTGGGCCTTGTTCCACGTGGGGCCAGAGCCTCTCCAGGAGGCATCCTACCCCTCGAGTGGGATGTGGCCTGGTGTGGGACAGGGGTGGGTGGGAGGGGGTGGCCAGGGCAGGGCTGGGTCTGTGTGTCCACGCGGACTCTTCCAACTGGACAGCTCACCCTCAGAGGGCGTGTGAGGCCTCGGGCCACGACCCCACGACCCTTGACCCTGGCCCACAGGAGAGCACAGGCTGCCCAGTGTGGAGTTGGAGCTGAGGCTCCCAGGCCCGGCGAGCCGGTGCCCATGGATGGGCCGCCAGTGAGGAAGGGGTGCTGCCCTCACGTCTCCTTCTGCCTGAAACCTGGGACCACTCGCTGGATTCCTGAGGCCTGTTTCCTGGTGACTCGCTGAGTCCGTTTTCCTTCAGATAAAACGTTTCTTTTCTGGCCAATTCCAGGAAACACAGGAGGTCTTAGTGTCAACAGACGACATATTTTTCGGATCCCTGAGCACGTGTTGGATGACACGACCATCACACCCTCTTGGGCCATCCTGTGTCCAAGGAATGACGCGGAGTCACAGAGGCCGTGGGTTTGGGAGGCAGACTGGGAAGCCGCTGAGGTGGTCCAGGCCAGGAGCGCAGGGTCACGGACCAGGTCACGGCCGGCGGGGAACGAGGTCCAGCAAGAGCGGGTCAGCCTTCCCAGGCCTTCCCAGGCCCGACCCGCCCAACCAGGTCTTAGTAGCCGTGCAGGTCCTGACTTGGGCGTGCTGGGGAACCCAGAGCTGCTTCTCTGTTGCCAGAACCCCTATAAGCCAGGAACCGTGCCCACGTGGCGGGCTGTGCCCCAGCCATCGGCCAGCGCCACCCCGTCACCCCCAGGAGCAGCTGCCAGGCTCAGGAGGCTCACGGCTAGCGGTCAGTACGAGCCAGGCACGTGCTAGGCACCTGGTCATTTGCGGCCCACTTGGTGGGGGAGGGGTTGTTGGTTTGCGGGGTAAGGAAGAGGAACGGCGCGATGGGTCAGCTGAGAAGGGACGTGAGGAATCGAGCTCTGGGGTCACAAATACTGAGAAGAACCTAAATCAACATGTCGAATGGGTTTAGGCAAAAAGGGTGTGAGGCACACAGCGCGTGGGGTCCTGCGTGGTGAACTTTCCGGAAGGCGAATCTGGTCTCCCTGTCCTCACGGCTGACGGGGTGCGGGGTGCTTGCTGGCCCAGCCGCTCACGGCCTGCTGCTGCAAATCTGGGTGCAAAGGTTTCCCCGTGTGGTCGTGTGTTTGGCACCACATCCCCGGACTGGCAGGCTCTGACCCCGCTGTTCCTGGGCCATCGGCTACCATCGGGGACTCCCTGGACCCGGTTCTGCAGCCAGAGACCCGGGCCGCCGTGAGACGCTGCCGCGAGCCTGACAGGTGCACGGGACTTGCCCTCGCGGGCCTGGGGCTCACGGTCTCTGTCCACCTTCCTGCAGGACTGAACCAGAAGCAGGGAGCGCGGCCGCCCTCCCAGGACAGGACAGTCCCGACACCGAAACTGAGACGTGGTTCTTGTTCGGGAGGAGAAACTGCCTGTCGGAACCATCTGTAACTGGGCGTGTTGCGACGTTCCTGCAGCTGTTACCAACGCCGTCCCCAGACAGTTGTCATCGTCCTCCGCGGAAGCCCCGGCGTGAGCTCGTCTCTCCCCCTTGTGTCCAGCTGCACGCGGCTCCGTGCCAGACACCAGGCTCTGCCGACAGACAGCCGTGGCCGTGGTTGTGGCCCGTGGGCCTGCGAGTCGCGCTTCCAGCCCCCAGCACGCTTCCCTGGCCTCCACCTCCGGCCCCTTCTCGGGGTCACGCATTCTAGTCCTGGGTCCTTCCTGCGGGAGTCCCGGCCGCTCTCACCAGGAACCCCAATCTCAGGGTCTGCCACTCAGAGGGCGCCTGGGGGGTGTCCTCTGCCCGCTTCTCCGGAGGAGTGACTTGGGGTCCCGGGCCCGTCACCTGAGCGCCCCCCATCCCCCGACACCGTTCTAACCAGCGGAATGGGGCACAGGGCCCCTGGGGCGGACCCTGGAGGCTCCCACTCCCGCTCGTGCTGGCCGCATGGCCACACTCAGACGCATGTGGGGATGAGGACGCGGCCAGGACAAGCCTGTTCTGGCCCGTCCGAACGGAAGCCCTTCTCTTGGGCTTCATCGGAGGAGGCGGCTCTGGAAGCTCTTCCCATGGGTCACTAACGCGTCCCCTTCCCGCCGGCGTCACCCCGATGGCCGCACTGGGACGCGACTGTCTCAGTGCTTCATTATCTGGTACGAGGCCTGTGGGGTGTGTCGGCCTCGGGGGACGCCGTGTTTGGAGCCAGCACAGCTCCGGGGAAGAGGACGACACCCGCTGGCACCTTCTCCTGACGACGCTGGTTCTACTTCCTGTTTGCAAACCGCAGATCTGGGGGAAAGTCAGTAAAGCCGGCGTCTGAGGAGCCACTGACCTTGGCACACGGGCGGCCGGAGCAGGCCGCGGGGAGCACAGGCCACCTGCTCCCGGCCCTGCAGCTGGAACCCGTGGCGGCAGGAGAACACAAGCACGTGCCGTCCTGTCTCTCCACAGAGCGCGACGTCCCCGTTGTCCACACCGTCAGGGAGGCCACATGCGTCACCTGGACCAGATGGCGACAGACCCACCGGCATTTGCTCCCGGTCCCCTCCCTGTCTCCGCGGCCTCCAGCCTCAGGGACCCCACGTCCCGCGGATCCGTCCAGGCTGTGCACGATGGGCGGTAGTGGCCATGGGGGGGGAGCCTTCCCTTCCGCGTCAGTCCCTGCCCTGAGCCGACCCCTCCGGGCGCCGTCCTCGCCCAACACAGCGCTCGGCGCCATGCGCTTTCCTCCTGCTCACAACCCTCAGGGCCTGCACCCCCTCACCCCTCACCCACTCATCTCCTCACCCCTCACCCCTTCACCCTCACTTCCCTCACCTGCTCGTCACCCCCACCCTCTCTCTCCCTTTTTAACCCACCACCTCCTCCCCTCACCTCCCCATCTCCCTCCCTTCCTTCACCTTGCCCACTTTCTCGCCTCCCCCCACTTCCAGTCAGGGCCGACTTCCCGCAATCTAGTGGGCAACAGCTTCTCAGCACCGGGTGTGTCTCTGCGGACAGCGTCACGGAGGCCGGGCGGAAGCCCTGTGCCCCGACCCCCACGTGCTCGTCCACACACCTGCCCGCCCCCGCTCGGGGGTCCCGGCTGCGGCACAGACGCGGGGCAGCTCGCCTCCCGCTTTGGGCCTGCCTTGTGGCACACGACCCACACGCTACAACCTAATCTAAAAAGTGCTTCAGGTCACCTTGAGGCGGGGGCTCCCTCCATACGTCCAGGTTCAGACCCGGAATGTTCTTGCACACCTCAAAGTCCCGCGGGAATCTCCCGGTTTGGAAGGCATCAGCGGGCACGCTGGGGAGGCCCGTGTTGTCACAGATGACCCGGGACAGGGAATGTCTCGCCAGCTCGCGCCGCTGGGCCTCGGTGAACACCCCATTGCTCTCCCACCAGAACCTGCACAGGAGAGGAGAGCCCGCGGCTGAGGGCACCTCCCGTTGGGTCGGACAGCGTGTCCTGTGCTGTCGTCCATGACCGAGTGCTCCCAGACCCCTCCTTCCAGACCCACTGGGCCGGGAATGAGGACCTGGCTTCCTGACTCCCTCGGGGGCCTTCGCGGGACAGCGGCCGGGCCACGCCAACAGAAGGGCAGCAAACCCGCCCGCGCTCGGACGCCGTCCCTGGGCCTGGGCCTCCTTCCTCCGTCAGCGCCCCCTGCCCGACTTGGCAGACCCGTGAAAGAACATGCGGAGGGGCTTTCTGGGCGTCACTACGTGATGGCTGCTCAGGCGCGAGACCCGGGCTCACGGCCCCACGGAGACAGCGGGGATGCGTGAGGGCCCACGACAGCTGTGCTGGGGCTCGCATGGGCTGGGGGCCGCAGACGTGCCCAGCTGAGGCACCTACCGGTCTCCGTCCCTCAGGGCCTTCATCTGTCTCCCAATGAGGCACGCGAACAGTGGACCCGTGCGCGCCTGGGGCAGGAAGGTCTCGGCCAGGCCGCCCAGCCAGACGTCGATGTTGTCCGGATGCCCGTACAGGTCCATTATCCGGCCCGCGATGCTGGCGTTGGCCAGGGCGGTGCGCAGGTCGGCCCGCGTCTGCAGTCTGGGCAGGTCGCAGAACTCCCTCCACGCATTGTAGCCTGCAGAAACCACCCCACTACCTCGTGCCCAGCAGAACGGAATGTGCCGGAATGTTCCAGCACCACAGTCGGAGTCTTACTGGAGAGCTTGCTCACAGACACAGTAGGAAGACACCGTATTGTGCAGTGGCCAGGATTCGACCTCCTGGGGCTTTGAGGGGGAGGCCAGAGCAGCACGTGTCCTGACCGATCGATCACCTGGCTCCCCGGGTGGGTCCATGAGAGGGGCGTGTGTGGGTGCACCCTGACCTGGAGCAGCGCCCCAGGTGACAGGCAGTTCTGTACTCGTGGACCAGCCGGCAGGGGCCTTGCATGGCTAGCAGAGCAGACCAGACAGCTGAACCATGGGGGCCCCAGGAGGAAAGGCCACGGGGGCAGGGTGTGAGGTCCGGCCTCCGGGAGCGGTGGGGAGCGTTGGGACAGACGGAGGGGATCGAGTTGGACCGGGCACAGCAAGTGGGAGGAGGAGCGGGGACCGGCCTGAGAAGAAGGGTCCCGCTCCCAGAGTGGCCAAGGGATGGGACCACTGGTGAGAGACCGCCTGGAGGCAGCCGGAGGAGTGTGCCGGCCTGGGGGCGGTGAGAGGGTCAGATGGGCGGGACAGTGGGCCGTCTAACTTCCCAATATGCGCCAGGCCAGACCACCACCTCTCCTGTTCGGGAATTGCTCCCGCCCCACCCCATGGTCCCTGTCCTCCAAGCAGCACTGCTCGGGCTCCCCGTGGACGGACCAGAGCTCTGGAAGGTGGCCGGGGATCGGAGACACCGCTTCTGATAGAAGAGGCTCTGAGGGGCCCCCCGCAGCCCAGGCGGGAAGGGAGCAGGGAGGAGCGGGGTGGGCGCACCTGGCAGGCCGTGGTCCCGGCCCCGCTGCAGGTTGATGGATGCCAGGTCCAGCTTGCCCGAGCTGCCCAGCACGAACAGCCTCTCCGTCAGCTCCTCGTTCATCAGCTGCTCCGGCACCTGCCGCTTGGCTGGTCTCGCCAGGAGGCCCCTCACCAGGGGGTCCAAACCCCCTGGAAAACACCGGGGACGAGAGGCGGTCATCCCATGAGTCCTGTGGAACTCTGCTTGTTCTTAATGGAAAACCCTTCAAGATCACGAATGTAGGGTCACGACTTCACTTTACGTGAGTCTGAGGATTTCTGAGTGCTGCTGGGGTTCTGCCGTGGGGGCGGGTGAGCACCTGTCTGGGTTCCCGGGGACTGACCAGCAGGCGCAGGGGGCAGGCCTCGGGTCCAAAGGGAACCCAGAGAAGGAGCACGGCAGTCCTGAAGCTTCCGTGTTGTTTCCCGCAGTGGACACCTGCAGGAGGCGGAAGCTGGAGTCTAATGGGCAGGGGTTGCTGAACAGAGGGGGGTTGGTTGGGGCACCTGCTCTCCTCACCTCTAAGGACCAGCCTGCTCCACAGGACCCTTTATGGAGAAGCCCACCTCTCAGTTCCCTCCCACCTGATAACATGGGTCCTTTATCATGACTGTCTGGCCTCTGGGGACCCCCAGAGCAAAAACAGGGGTGGCCCAGGGCCATGATAAACGAGGTCGGGGGGTGTGGTCCAGGGCAGCCACGGGAGGGAGGCCGAGCCCTGGCGCGAAGGGAGACGCACCTTCCTTGAGGAGCCTCCAGGGACTGAAGAAGGCGTCCTGCAGCCGCAGTGGGGGGAGGCCCGGGGGCTCCTGGAAGTGGGCGTCCAGCCGCCTCACCAGGGGGTGCACGGTGGCGTGGCCAAAGCGGAAGGCAGCCGTGGAAAACACATTGGACACGGTGGGGTCCACGGCAGGATCGTAGCCCTCATAAGGACCCACGTACTTCTGGAAGGCCTCGGGGCCCAGGACTTTGGGGACATAATCCCGCATGGTGATGATCTATGGAGAAAGGAAAACAGGAGAGCTTCTGAGCAGGGGAGACTGGCAGCAGGGCCCACGTTCCGGACTTGGGCCATGTCCAGCGACAGGGAAGGACTTTCTCCTGCACATCCGTTGGGGCCAGAGTTGTCCCGGGAAGGACACGCCGTCCAGGTCAGGGAACAGGTGAGCAGGTGAATGGATCCCAGGAGCAACCTCACAGCTCTGAGACTTACGGGGCTTGGAGGGCATGTCAGCGACACCCCCGAACACCCCCAGGGCAGGACAGGGCACGTAAAGCTTGGGGTGCACCACACAGGACTGGCTGCCACGCTGTACCCCTCCCCCAACCTCCTGGCCCCCTTCACCGCGGACACCAGCAACGCCTGAGCTCAGGAGTCAGGGATCTGTGCGCTTCAAGGAGCCTGAGCCGTGGAGGCCCAGGTCCCGACCCGGGAGTTCCAAGCCCCCCTGCCCTCCGACTCAGTGGCTGTGCGACTCTGGTGCGTGGGGAGCTGGGCGGCCGCTCTGATCTGGCTTCCTTTTCTGGAAAAGCCTTTTTCACGGAGTTTTTGTGAGAGTAGAAAACATACACGGTTTTCTCTGTTGGGTCTGTTGTGTGGTCTCCGTACGGCAGATGGATTTGTTACCCGGTGGGTCCGTGCGTGCTGAGGACCCTCCCCAGAAGCTGTGCGGAAACGCCCCCCATTGAAGGGCACTCGCCCTCCGCCTGGCTCCGGAAGAAAGTCACGTTGGGATCCTACGCTTCTCCTTCTTCCCTGACGCGCGTCTGCCAGCTGGTGAGCTCGCCACAACAGACAGGAAGGAAAGGGGCTGGTGGGGTCTCACAGGAGCCCAGACCGGGCCTGGGTTTTGTGAAGAAGGCCTTGTCCTGGTTTGGTCTCAGCCTGGAAGATACGGCTCTCTAAAGGGACAGAATGGGTGTGACCCACGGGCCGTAGCGCGCATCTTTCATGACGGCAGGACCCCGCGGTCTGCTGACGGGATCGGCTCTCTGTGGTCGCCCCGCCCTGCGCTAGGGCCTCCGAGTGACTTCTCAGAAAGGTGCTGGTCCATTTGTTCTGGTCCTCGGGAGTTCTGTGAGCCAGATGGTGGCCCTTCGAGGGACGGGGGTGGGGCTGTGGCCGCCCGGGAGGCTACTCGAGTCTGAGGCCCCCCGGGGCACAGATGTGGGTGGCCTGGGTCTCTGATTCCAGGGCCCATGCCTCCGAGGAGCCCCGTCAGTGGCAACAAGGCCACCCACCCTCGTCCTGTGGTTTCTGTTCGGTGCCCCCACAGGGTCAGGGACAAGGGCTCTGCTGGGAGGTTTACCAGTCATTCTCTTTCCTGTAAAAATCAGCATCAGATTCTTCCAGGATTAAAGGATTTGGGTCGATAAGTGGCGTCCGATGAGGTAAAAGCCGATAGGAACAGGTCTGTCGAGAACGTTAAGGTCTTTGCTTGTAGCTTCTCCGTGCAGCAGGCAAGCTGCTCCTTCTCCGGTCACTGGAAGAAAGCTCCCACCTGCACCCTCAGAACAGATCCCTTCCAAGCGGGACGTGTTTTCTGATTTGCTTCGCGGGCGCAGCGGGGAGCGGCTGTGGAGCCTCCGAGCCGGCAGAACAGTGGACGCACGGAGCCCCGGGCTGCCACGGAGCCCGCTTTCAGCTCAGGGGTCTGGAGGCTGGTCCAGTGCTTCTTGTCTGACGGGTCATCCCCAAGCCGGTTCAGGGATGAGTGAGAAACACCTGGGTCACTGATGGGTATGGAGTAGGGACGACTTAGTCACGCAGAACCCGGCCCTCAGCCCAGACCCCAGACGTGTCTGCAGCCTCCCCTGCACGGGAGCTCAGTGTGGCCCTTGCTGCCCGGCGTGAGTAGGGCTCCGCTTCTGCTTCTTGTCCTCACAAGGGAAATGGCCTTCCTCTTCCCCACCAGGAACACGAGACAGCTTTAAATTCCAGTGGAAGAGATTCCAATGACCTCTGCTTCCCTCTCCCCTTCTCTGAAGCTTGACTTGGGGTCCCAGGGGGCATAGGGCCCATTGTCCTGACCCACAGGGGCACCGGTGGAGACAGAGACCCTGGGGACATGCTCATATAGGGCTGTCTGTCCGCAGCAGGGGGGACCTGGGGGAATGAGCTGCTGAAGTTGGGATAAATGTCTTGGTGGGGAGCACCATGGGGCTCTGTCGGACAGATTGGGGCTGTCGTGGGACTTTGTGGGTCAGGAGCAGGAGGCTTGCTTCTGCTTCGGGTGCGGGGAGTGGGGGACGGGAGCTAAGGCCAGGCCACGTGTCCCTGGGCCTGGCTGCTCAGAGCTGAGGCAGTGGCCGTGGGACCGGGCCTGCTCTCCATCTTCTGACCCGCAGATGTTTCTTTCAGCGACATGAGGCTTTCCAGGACGGGAGAGATCCAGAGCACAGAAGCAGGAAAGACGGACGGCCTTGCGGGAACCCCTCCGACGCAGCCCACCTCCCGGCAAGGGTTTGTCAACGCTAAACACAGCCTCTTGCCATTTTGGAGTTTCCGAGATATTTGCAAAAAAAACCGAAGAGGAGCTATTGACTGAAAAAACACTCCAGGGAATCTGAAAGTGAACAGTGAAGCTGAGAAATGTGGCCGGTCCTGGGCAGACGGGGGTGGGGCTCCTGCGGTGTGCGGGGACTGGGCTGCACACACACCCTCCGCACACACTCCCGAGCGTCCACTGTGCACGTCCGGTCCAGCAGCCGGAGCGCAGTGCGAGGTTGGACAGCGTTGCCCACGGAGCCCTCGTTCGGGGGAGGGGCATGGGCACGACCCAGCCGAGCCCACTGCCGTCAGGGGGACACGGCCGGGAGGACCCCACGGTGGGGGAGGGGTAAGAGCTCCCAACCGGGAACCCCGGGAGCCACCTTGTTGGAGTTCGGAGCGGGTCTGATGGGCTGTCTGAGACAGGGACAGGTTTCCAGTCCCCCAGCTCTACCGAACCCGTTCACACGTCCCTGTGGTGCCCCTGTTCCTGCTTCACCGGCTCCGTGTGTGCTCGCCTGGGACCCGAGGTCGTGACCCGCAGGGGCGCGTCCAGACTGTGGCGTGTGTCCCGGAAGCCCCCCGGCCCTGTCTGCATGCTGGGATCCCCGGCTCTGCTCCGGCCCCGCCCCCACGCCCCCGGCACCCCCGGGCCCTCGCACCTGGTGCAGGGCGCCCACCACCTTGCGTGCCTCCTGGTAGGCCGTGTGGGTGCTCCAGTGTGCGTTCAGAGCCTTGAGCGCCGAGGCCAGCCTGTTGTGCTCGCGCAGCCACAGCGTGTGCAGGGCCGCCAGGGCGGGCACCTCGCTGGCCCGGCTGTCCCCTGCCAGGAAGCAGGGCGCGGCGGCCGTCCCGTGGGGGCCGGGCTCAGGCGCGCAGGCGGCGGGCCGTGCGAAGGGCAGGTAGGCGCGGCCGGCATCCCGGTGGCGCGTGTTGACCCGGAGCAGCCCCTGGGGGCTCGTCCAGTTGCGCAGCCGTTTCTCCAAGGCCGGGGAGCTGCCGTACACCGTGGACGCGTCCAGGAAGGACGTCAGCCCGTTCATCTGCTGTCGCGGGTTGGCCGAGCTCAGGTTCCCGAAGAAGGCGCCTTGCATCCCGGTGCCACAGGCGGCGGAGGACCGGTAGAACGGCAGACAGGAGCCGCCAGCGCTCCCCGAGGCGTTGCTGGGCAGCTGCGGGAGAGGGGAGACACCCTCACGGCCTCTGCAGGCACCCGGGAAGCTCCAGGCTGGCCACGGTCATCAGCCTGGGGGCACTCCCTGACCCGTCCACTCCTGTCCCTGCCCTCAGTCCTAGCCTGCCGCGGGCTCCTGCCGGGGTCAACGGGGTGAGAGGAGAAATGAGAGCCGTATTTAGGGAGACCCGTTCTGCCGGACCCGCCATGGCCAGCGCCCTCTAGCTCTGCAGCCCGACAGGCAGACACAGGCATGCCTCTGGACGTGAGCCGCGGTGCCCCTGTGTCTGCCTGTCGGGCTGCAGAGCTAGAGGGCGGTGGCCATGGCGGGTCCTGCTTGAAACCTAAATGCTCGTGAGCGAGCAAACGGGTTAACACGTCACCGCGCAGACTTTAGAAGTTGAATGTCTGTGCACTTAACAGTAGGGTGCAATGTCAGCTAATCACAACAGCTTCTGAACGACACACACAGCAGGGCCCGTCAGCTGTAAGGGTCGGAGCACGCACACACGTGCACACCCGTGCACACACACACGCGTGCAAGCACGCGTGCACACACGCACGAGGACACTTTCTGGACAAATGCACAAGATACTCCTCACAGGTGTTACCTCCCCGCCCCCCGCGCAGGACGAATGGGGACGTGGACCTTCCCTTACACTCCCCTGCTTGATTTCTAGAATGACATCTGTTACTTTCATAGTAAATAGTCACACGGTTTAAAATTCTACCTGTATGGGAAAACATGGGTTTTGGTTTTCACACGTCAGCTGGCAGTCAGCTCCTCCCCCAAACGCAGCTTTGCTGGTGCTCTGGGGGGTGAACGCAATGTCGTGGTCGATGTATTGTCCCCACGCCGCCAGGAGGTCGGAATACTGCTCGTCCTCAGTGACGGCCTCGTTGGGGACCTGAATGACTTGTCTTGTCACCTCCCGGACCTGTGAGAGAGACCAGCGTGTCACGTGAGATGGGTATCTGCAGAGAAGGAGGACACAGGGGAGACCGCGGGTCGGGGCGCCCGCTCACGGACGGGGAGCCATCGGTGTGATAAGGGCCATGATCCAGAGGGAGGGGCCAGGGGCGTGAGGCTGTTCTCAGGCCTCCACAGGTTTGCAGATGTGATTAGTGTTGGGACCTTGACATAGGGGCTCTTCTGAGGTTCCAAGTGGGTCCAATGCAATCACATGGTTCCTAAAATCTGAAAGCCTCTCCTGCCTGTCATCAGAAGGGTTGTGGACCTGGGGGCCCGGGAAGAGGATCCCCCACAGCCTTGCCCATGCCTGGCGACAGCCCAGTGAGCCCCACTTCTCCTCCGGAACTGGACAGTGGTGACGTGGAGTAATTTGTGCAGGAGCCCAGCAGCCCACATTAACGATGTCTGAGCACCAGTCGTTGCAAGTAGCCACGTGATTCTGGGAAACACGGGTTTACAGAATCCTTGTCCCTTTATGCTGAGCCCAGAGAGCCTTGGGGCATCGGGCAGGATGGGGAAGGTGTTACTATGTCTGTTAGGGACAAACGGAGGCCAAGAGTGTCCTGCAGAAAGGGACAGGGACGAGTGTAGCCGGGGAGCCCATGCCCTCCCCCAGGGCCCAGCCACCAGCTCCGACGCTGCTCCCAGCCTGAGGGGCACCGGTCGTCCTGCTCGGCGGCCATCCGCGAGAACGGCCCAGGGAAGCTGATCGCCTCAGATGTCATTTAGAAATCAAACAGGGGGGTGTAGGTGAAAGGTCCACGTCCCCATTCGTCCTGCGTGGGGGCGGGGAGGTAACACCTGTGAGGAGTATCTTGTGCATTTGTCCAGAAAGTGTCCTCGTGCGTGTGCACGAGGTAGGGGTCTGGGGACAGAGTACCGGTCTGTCACCAAACAGACTGTCACTATCACATTTCTGGAGAACTCCACTGTCATACGTAGTATAAGACCAGGCAGACTGATTTATCACAAAAGCAAATAGGCAAATTGAGGGCAAATGTCCATTTTTTAGCCAAATTGATCAGTGGCTTGTCTATGAGATTTCTTAACAAGTAATTTGCCTCCGGGCGTAAAACAGCAGCCATCATTTTGCATAAATGAGTGAATTACTTAACGTTTAAGTATCTTTGGTTAGACATCCTCCTCTGCCTACGGGTAAAGGAACTTACATCAAAACGCCAAAATAAGGGGTGCCTGGGTGCCTCAGTGATCAGGCAACCGAGCCTCGGTTTCGGCTGAGGTCGTGATCTCAGGGTTGTGCTGTCAAAGGCCATGCTGGGCTCCGGGACCAGCGGGGAGTCTGCGTGGGATCCGCTCCCTCTACTCCTCCCCCCAGAATGAATAAATCTTTAACAAAAACAAACCCCCAAATACCGAAATGACTATGAAGGGCCGAGAGTCAGCTGAGCCTTAATCTAAGTCTGCCTTGTCCCTGTCACTGCTGGTGACGCTCATCTCTCCGCCCCTCAGCCCCCGAGGCGGGGAGCGGGGCACAAAGCCCCGGGCGCAGGCCGGTGGGGACGGAGAGCACGGGGCTCTGAGCCCGCTGCCCGGAGCCTGGGCGCAGCCGCGGCGTCCTCCCGGGTGGGGGGCGGTCTGGCAGCGTCGCGGCGTCCCGGGGTGGGGGGACACCTACCGGGGGCAGCGGGAAGCCACTGTATAGGAGGTGGGGGTTCCAGCCCCGGGGCTCACTGATGCCGTCTTCGTAGGCAGGTGGCAGCCATCTCGCCAGCGCCGTGTTGGACGCTCCCCACCGGGGGTGGTCTCTGCGGAAACAGACGTGAGACTTTCAACCGCAAGATCCTCCATCTGGGAAGAAATAGAATGGGAATAGCCGTTTAAAGAGCAAAAAGAAATGAGAATCTTCTGCTGGGGATTTTTTTTTAACGGATAATTTGGGCATAAAATCCTGACGGTGTCCGTGTTCCATTGGCATTTGTGCGCCGCGTCCCCGTGGGCGCCGGCTGTGGGGTCTGCGCGGTCGCTGCAGGTCTTCGGGGAATGTGTGAGGCCGGCGTGGAGGCTTGCCGCGGACAAGCGTCCGAGTTGGAAAAGGTCGGGTCTAGACTCTCCATCAAGCCCCCACACAGCCCTCGTGTTGACACTTGGAACATCTAAGTCGCAAAATCCAAGAGATCTGTGACAGGCCACATGACTTTGCGAAGTTTTTGGATTGTTCAGAAATATAAACGTCTAAAGATCCGTTGCTCTGTTTTGACACATTGTCATCAGGATGGAGGACGTCGCTGACGTGGACCAGTCCTCCGCCAGCGTGGCTGGTTGAGAAGCTCTGCCTGGGCGTGAAAGGAGCTGGGAGTGGCCAAGACCGCGGCCACACTCACAACACGTCCGCAATCAGAGGCGAGACGCCGCGTAGCGTCGGGCAGATGGAACAGACGCGCTGCTCCTAGCGGGGCCGCAGGCTCCGGAAATGGGGAAACGCAGTCACTCATGTTGCCGCTGTCCCGGCCAGGAGCCCCGGGGGACTTGCCAGCGGGAGACGGGGTGGGGACATGGGAGCATCTGCAGGGCCACGGGGTGGGGGACAATCCTGTCATCAATCTTTCTTGGAGCTCCCGCACACCAGCCTGGCCCCATCTGTGGAATGACGCAGGACCGCGACGCATCTCATTAGCAGCAGGAAGTCAGCGTGGGGAGACCGTGTGCTCTCCCCGACGGTCGGATTCGTTAGTCGGTTTAAGTCGTGGAAATTCCGCTGCTTGGGGGAGGTGCAAATTTACTCCATTAAAAATAACGAAATGTTCATTCAACTGCTTAGGCCGTGATTTTTCTGCTGACTTGCTTTTCAGTAGCCTGTAGGCTGTCCCGAGAGCCCAGGGGCTCGCCGGTCCTTGTGGACACCGGGAAAGGGTGTGCAGTTGGCCTGCCTGGCGGGAGTCCTGGAGGGAGAGCGGCCGGTGCCAGGGCTGGCGTTTGGTGCCGTCGGGGGGCCTGTGCGTGGCCTCCCCACGAGGTACCCGGCACACTGTCGTGTTGGAAGATCCTCAGCCCAACGTGGGACCAACATTTAGGTCCACACCACCTGTCCATTGGGCTCTCGGCTGCGGGGAGGACATGGTCAGGAGCTGACAGGGTGAGCGGATGGAAGCCTTTCTGGACAAGAGGTCACGGGGACACAGCCGTCTCTGCCGTGATGTTCAGAAGCACGGGCTCTCCTCTCCGAGGCTCCAGCACCTGGATGCTGAGAGAGGCAGGTCCAACGTCCAGCCTGAGGGGAGTGTGGATGGACGTCCATGGTGGAGGCTGGGTGGCTCCCACAGGTGTCCTCCTGGCTGTGGACGGGTGTGGGCACGCGGGGGCTGTGTGTGGGGTCGGCTCGAGGAGCCGCGGCATCACCGAGAATGAGCTCGGAGCCCTGTCGTAGCGCATCCTTCCCACAACCCATCCATGGGAGGTCCCCATGTGGCCCCAGGGCTGGGGGCTGCACCTGCAGGCAGCGGGGCTGGGGGCGGCTTACAGACCCACACGGCCCCCACATGGCCCCGGGACCTGGTGTGGCTCCTACCGTGCCCGATGTCCCATCCGCCGGCCGGAAGCATGAGGACACTCAGGCCCTGGCGTGCCGCCGCGGCTGGAGCTCCCTGACGGCAGGCAGCGCAGACCTGGGTGGACGCGGTTGGACCGATGCTGTGCTCTTCCCTCATGGGCTTGGACGCCATGTGCTCCAAGAACTCTGGAAACTTCCCTGTCCCGGCGTCATTCGTGCCCGTGTTATGGTCCATGTGTTTCATGCAGGAGACCCACCCCAGCAGCATCTAGGTTTCCTCAGACGCATGAGCGTCCTGGGGCCTCCCGCGTGCACCCGTCAGGGGCTCCCTTTTGTCTCTGTTCAGGTGTCAGAATTGTGAACGACCTTAGTGCTGCCCCAGCTCTGCGCGGCCCCTCTCTGTGGTCTGGAGGCGACAGTTCGAAGCAGGTTAAACGCGGGCTTCCCTACGGGAGCCACCGTGCGGAGGACGTCCCCTCCAGTGAGATCTGCAGGGTCACCTCTGCCGGACGACTTCCCGTGCTCTGTCCAAACACAAATGAGAAGACGTGGTGAGTGGACGGGGTCACGCGGCGGGTGTCCCAACGGCACAGGAGCTGCCAGGGAGGACGTATGCCTCTTCACACAGCTTTGGAAGACTGACCCCACTTTCAGTTCGGGTTTGGGCAAGTGTTTTGGCAAATTAACGCAGAGAATGTCGTGCACAGCAAGTTACACACTAAACCCAGGGAGGTCAGGGGCTCTGCGGGCACATCAAACGCACGAACCAGATTTCGCAGGCGGGGTGCGTCGCCTCCTCCGGGAACTCATGGGTTCTGAGGTCAGAGACTGTCCAAGGGCGAGGAGGCTCCACGCAGAATCACGCCGTGGTGCAGACGGGCCGTGTCCCGCGGCCTGCAAGGCCACGCCCAGCCTGCCTGTGTCCACGCGGGACGCCTGCTTGGCAGCCCCGCGGTCCTTTCCCTCCGCTGAGAACATGCCGGACACGAGCCCACGAGGTGCAGAAGGATTTCAGTGACCTTCGGTCCTTCCTGTCGGGGGACGGTGTTGCCGCTACAAGCGCGGCGCGTGCATGGGGGCAGGTGGGGTGCGCGTTTCCGGCCCGACTCTGCTCTCGAGTCAGTGGCTTCTCCTGAAGCAGGTGAACCCGTCACTATGTGGGTGCAAACGTTGTCTGCATCTCCGCCCGCCGGGTGTGGGTCAGACACGGCCAGGGCCAGGCGAGCAGCTGTCTGAGCCGGGAAAACTCTGCTGCAATCGTGAGAGCCCACGTCACCACACGGGAGTCGCTGACCGCTGCCTGAGCTGGGAGCCTTGCCCGGGGGAGAAGGCGCCTGGAGCTGTGTTCACGGTCCTCTGTGGCTAAGGCCTCGGGCAGGTCCCAAAAGGTCAGATACTGTCTGGTCGTCCGTGGTGACGATCGTGGCGCCGCTTTCTGTCGCGGCGTTGCACACTGCACGCAAAGACCTTCAGAAACCCTCCCAACAGGCAGGAATGGCTCCGTCACGGGAGTGTCCTTCCCTCTCGCACAGGCAGAATGAGGGCCCAGAATGCCGATGACAGTCGTCCGATGGTCACCGTCACATCCAGCAGCCCCTGCCGAGATCCGGATGTGCCGTGGCGGATGACAGCAGCGCGCATGCCCACACGCTCACTCCCCGAAACCCGGGCAGACGTGGGAACCTGAGGACCATCGAGGGCAGCGCTCCCGAGAGTGGCGTCGGCCCGGAAACAGGCCCCGCCTGCCTTCGCCCACGTGCGACGTGGGTAGCGCCAATCCCGTCCTCCCGGCAGGAAGGCCTGTGGGGCGCAGAAACCCTTCTCCACTCCGGTTACCTGATTTCGCGGGTGGGTCCCGGCACTCAGCATCGTCTCAGCGAAGGGGAAACGGCCGTGAGGGCAGCCACAGCCGCGACGCCCAGCCGTCAGCCCGCACGCAGGGAAACCGGCAGAAACGGAGTCTCCTTCCAATCCACCATTTGGAAATTCAGACATTATACAGTCAAATCCAAACCACATTTGCCTAAAGACAGAACGTCTGCCGTCCTGCAGCCGACAGGTGGGGCCAGAGCCCGTGGTTCGCGCCAGGAAGCAGCAACGGGCTAAGAAGTGACGCGGTTAAGGCAGGAAGAGAAAGTGGAAAACAGCCCCTGTGCATCCACGTTAGAGTCGAGAAGAGAGACGGGAACAGACAAACCCCCAAGAAATGAGAAAGAAGCGTCACTGGACATTAAGTAAAACGCGGGAAGCGTAACACGGTGGTGAAGTCCAACGTGTTGGAGCCCGAGTCCTGGGGAACCTTGCAAAGAAGTGTGACCACGGTGCGGCTCGGACGAGCGGCAACCCCGGCATCCTGCCCATGACAAACCTTCAAATCGGAGCAGAAGGGGACCCTCTGACCGGCAGTGCTGCAGACGTCACGCAGCAACCAGAACTTTCCGGAAGGAAAGTGCTCTTCCTTAGGGAAAAACGTGTATCCGGAAGAAACCTCTGTCCTGTCTCTAGCCCCTCGATCCGAACACACCGGGGTTAAACGTGCCGGGGGGCATCGCACAGAACCTGCGAGCGTGCGGGCCCCAGGCCACGAGAGCACACGCGTGTGGCATGTGTGGCACAGACACGGCGCAGGAGCAGCCCCGAGCGGGGTGTCCGTGTGCACAGAGGACTCCCACAGTCTGCAGCCGGGCCTCGAGGGAAGGGCGGGGACAGAGGAGACGGGCCCGGCCGGGAGAGGGGCCGAGACAAGATCCCTGGACGGGGCTCCCCAGGGCTGAGCCAGGGGACGTCCTGCCCCTGCCGAAGGGACCTGAGCTGAGGGGCCCAGGCCCCCCTGGGGAGGCGGCTAGAGGGCAGAGGGGACGCACTCCTGGCGCAAGCAGCGGCTTCAGCAAGTGCAGGAAGGAAGTCTGGGCCTCTGGGAACTCACATCCCGGCTGGTTTCATTCACTCAGGACTCCCCTTCTGTCCTGAACCACACACGACGCCACACACCCCTGCCTCTTGGCAGCAGCCCCCGTGAGCCCTGTGACCAGCCCCGTGACCAGCCCCGTGAGCCCTGTGACCAGCCCTGTGACCAGTCCAGGGAGCCCCGTGACCAGCCCCGTGAGCCCTGTGACCAGCCCCGTGACCAGTCCAGGGAGCCCTGTGACCAGCCCCGTGACCAGCCCCGTGAGCCCTGTGACCACCACACGGCCAGCACCGTTCTGGGTCATTGTGAGATGCGCTCTGCGCCTCTGTTTAGTCCAGGACTACGGTCATCACAGGACCTAAGCTTCAAACTGCGAAACTCTTTGTAGCAAAAATGGGAACCAGTCCTGTTTATGCTGGACCCACTGGGCTAGGGATCCCACTCACCAGCTGCGGGAGGACAGGGCTATTGTGTTCCCCAACACGTGTCGTGGGGCCTGGCTCAGGGCAAGAGGAAGGAAGAGAGCGAGGGAGGGAGGGAGGGAGACCTGCCATCTTGTCCCGGCCCCCACTGCGGGCACAGCCACAGCTGCGCTGCCCTCTGGTACCCGGGCGGCTGCTCTGCTGCAGACTTGTGTCACGGGTCCTGTGACCGTCCTCCACCTGTGGCCCAACTGACATCCGGGCCCGATGGAGCCACATTCCTTGGCCCTTAGCCTTCTCAGGACTCTGATCTCAGTCGAACCTATGGCTCCTGGGCCTTCCCAGAACCCGATTCTAGGGGACACTTTGTGGAACGGGTGGGGCAGCGTCCAAGGGACACCCGCAGATGGTGTGGACAGGTGTCTATGGGACACCCACAGACGGGCTGGGGCAGTGTCCAGGGGACACTAGTGGATTGGGTCAGGTCGGGGACACACCTGGCGACAAGCGGGGCAGGTGGGGGTCCAGGGTGCACAGTGGTGGGACAAGACCCCGCCGGTCTGCAGCCTCCCGGGATGCAACGCCGCTGCCCCTACCCCCCGAGGCGGGGCCCGTCTGGAGGACACGCCGACCTGTTGTTGCAGGCGCCCGTGATGAGCCGGTACTTGTTGGCCAGGCAGGTGTCCGGGCACTCGGGGGGCAGCATGTACGGCAGGCATCCGGACACGTTCGCGACTGTGTTCAGCACATCTTCCGGCAGGACATCTGGGGAGGAAGCCGCGTGTGAGGACGAGCCCACCCCCTGCCCTACACGGGGCAAGGCGGCCGCAGACAGCATCCGCCATGTCAGACGCGTCCGCGCAGGGGCCAGGGCTTCCTTCTCCTTCAATCCAGTGCTCTTGACAACAGCCTCGCACACCCTCCATGCAAGGAAATGGGCTCTTAAAACCCATGTTTGCTGTGACCATTCAGGAAATCTGGTCAGTGCTCCGGGCCCCCGGAGACAGGACACCCGCGGGTCACGGCCCCGACAAGCCTCCGTGCCCTGGCGGTGAGACGGAGCAGCCAGCAGAGCTCGGCCCCCGGCCGGTCAGGGGTGCGGCAGCGTTGGCGCCGGAGCTTGGGGCCCGGCTCTCTCCGGCTGGACTGCTGGCTCCCTTCTCGCCGCTCTCTCCGGGTTGGGGCCCAGAAGCTTACGTATTTCCCCAAGCACGTTGCTGCCGGCATGCTTCCCTGTTGGTCCTAGAAGGAACCTTTGGTCACTTCTCCAAGACGAGTTGTACAGATCTTCGAGATAAAGCCGTAAGGACGAACGAGGAGGGACCGGGGGCTGAACTTCACTAGGGGACCCTGGGAAGGACGCATCCGTTTGACACGGAGAGAAAGAGAACGAGCGTCCCCGTCAGTGCACGGAGCCGGAGGGTCTCATGTCGTAAGTCGGTGAGAGAACCACAAACACCGTGTGATCTCACGCGCACCAGGAATTCAAGAAACAAAACAGATGGGGCACTGGGTGGCTCAGTCCTTAGACGACTGCCTCCCGCTCGGGTCATGGTCCCAGGGTCCTGGGATGGAGCGTCGGGCTCCCTGCTGGGCGGGGACCTGCTTCTCCCTCTCCCACTCCCCCTGCTTGTGCTCCCTGTCTCGCTGGGTCTCCCTCTGTCAAATAATAAATAAAACCTTAAAAAAAAAAGCAGATGAGCCTATGGGAATGGGGGAGGGGAGAGAGAGGGAAATGAACCATAGGAGACTCTTAACTCTGTGGCGGAGGGAGGGGCTGCTGGAGGAGGGGTGGGGGATGGGCAGAGGAGGGTGGGCATGGGCAGGAGCGCCGGGCTTTGTCGGTGATGAATCACTAAGTTCTACTCCTGAAACCAGTTTTCCCATATGTGTCACCTACGTAGAATTTAAATCAAAACGTGAAATAAATTAAAAACATAAAACTCAATAAAAGAAACAAGGGCTAAGTTGGCACTAGGTGCTTGTGGCTCTTTCCGGGCAGGAACCTGGGGACCACGCGGCTCGTGACGCCGCGCTGAAAAGCCCGGGTTAGTCTGCTTCTCACAAACCCCATCTTCTCATTCCCCGTGCGGGGCTCATGCACTGCCCGGAGGTCCGGCCCGCCGTGCCCCTTTTGCACCCACAGGCTGCCTTGCTCGGAGGCGGCCGCTCTGCCAGCAGCCACTGCTGTCCCCGTTCAGAGTCCAGCAAACCGGTTCTCAGAGGCCCAGAGGAAGTCACGGAGGCCACGGCCACACAGCAGGGAGGGCCTCACCGTCCTTGCCGGCTGCCCAGGCTGCTGCTACAGGAACGTGACCCCTCGCACAGCCCCGCGCGTGGCTCCCGCCGTCCGCGCCATCCCTGGCCGCCCCGTCTCACCACCAGGGCACAGCGGCTCTTGGACGCCATGACACAGGCTGCCAGGGGCTTGAGCGGCCGCCCCGGTTCAGTCTGGACCACAGAGGGACCGGCACCTCCCAAGCGAACCCAGACGCATCCCACGCCTGTTGGAGCAGCGGTGACACACCCACCGCGTCTGCCTGGGACTGAGCAAGGAGGCGATCGAGAAGTGCTCTGTGCAGTTCCCTCCCAGCCCGGGCTCTGCCCCTCGGGGCCGCTGCTGGGGGGGCACCTCGGGGGGCGCACCTGTGGGAAGCCAGGATCCCCGGAGCTTCCCGGAGACTCTCGTCTTCAGGGCCTGCACGGAAGCTTCCATGATCTCGGCCGCACGGGAGATGGCTCGGCTGGTCGGCTCAGGGCGTTTGGAGAAAGACAGAAGCTGTGACGGAGACGGGATCCCTCTTTGGCTGAGGTCTCTATGGCACAAGGGGAGAAGTAAAGCTGGTTATTCGTCTGGGGCTGTTCTCGTGAAGAGCCAGCACTCACTTCAGCAGAGTATGTGCAGGGCCTGCCCCATGTGGCGTTGGGGACGGGCACATCCAGAGGTCGTGAGCCGAGAGGACTTGGGGGAGATAAGCCTCGTCAGCATCGAGTTAGACACCTGTGCTGTGCTCCCACTGGTGAGCCAGGGGCCCTGCGCGCGCAGCCCTCTGGAGCTCCCGGGTGAGCCCGTGCTCACAGGCCAGCCCCGGCTCCTGTCAGAGAACTGGCCCCCGCAGGGCAGGACAGGGCAACAGAGCCTTTGTGGTGGGACGGGAAGCACCGTGCTGGGTCCCCAGCGCCCTGCGTCCCTGGCCTCGAGCATCCCAGCAGCTCCAGCCCCAGGGGATCCGTCCAGCCACCTTCCCATGGCACTTTGGGGCCAGTGCCCCGGGGGCGGGGGTCCGAGCTGGCCCCTGCCTGGGTGGAGCTGCAGAGCGGACCCCTTGGCCTCAGGCAGAGCGGCAGGAAAGCCCCTCCAGCAGCCCTGAGATGTTCGGCTCAAGTCTCGGGCAGCTTTGCGGAATCAGCCAAGCTCTTGCCACCAGCCGCGACCCCGCGGGCCACCATGCGTCAGTAAGAGAGTCCAAATGTGCACCGAGGGAGCGGGGCGGCCGGTGCTGTGCCGAGAACCACTCACCTCAGGCTGTCATCCCTGAAAACCTCGGCTGCCAAAGGCCACAATTACGCTCCGTTTACAGCACTCCCTCATGGAGAGCCGAGTAGCTGGCTTCGGGGGCACAGCCAGTGACAGACACGGCGGACACGGCGGACACAGCAGAGTGAACCTGACGTCCACACCGATGCGCGTGGCCTAGAACTTCCATAAAGAGCTCTGGATGTCACAGCTGCCTTGTGCACGTGATACTAGGTCACCGCAAAGTTTTCTTTCTTTTAAGATTTTATTTATTCATTTGACAGAAAGAGACACAGCGAGAGAGGGAGCACAAGAAGGGGGAGTGGGAGAGGGGGAAGCAGACTGCCCACTGAGCAGGGAGCCTGCCTTGAGGTTCGATCCCCGGACCCCAGGATCACGACCTGAGCTGAAGGCAGAGGCTTTAACCCTCTGAGCCCCTCAGGTGTCCCCATCATGAACTTTTGGTAGAAGCTGACATACCAGCCGGCAGAGACATGGGGCCCCGGCCCCAGACACGGGCCACCGCAGTGCCAGCTGCAGCCGTTCTGGGGCTCCCTGAGACTGCGGGGCAGGAAAACAGTCCCCCAAAGAAGTCCGTGTCCGAATCCTCGGAGCCGTGAGCAGGCCCGGCTGCACACGAGGGCATTTGGCTACAGGCAGGACTGGGACAGCTAACAGCGGAGGCTGAAAGGGGCTGTTCCCGAGCCCTGCAGGCGGCCACACAACCACCAGGTCTTATGAGGGGAAGAGGGTAGGGAGGACAGGAAAAGTGGTCAGAGATCTGTCGCCGCCTGAAGACGGGAAAGGCCCGCCGGGCAACACGGGCACCTCTGGAGCTGGGAGGGAGGGGAAAGGGAGGTTTTTCAGAGTCTCGGGAGGACCGCTGTCCCCGGACGGCGACTCTGGCCCAGCGAGGTCCATGCTGGCCTGTGATCTCTGATGGTGTGATGAAGCACAGGTGCTGCGTTAAGCTGCTGGGTTTGGGGCCACGTGCTCCAGCAGCCCTCGGAGGCGAGAACCCCACTCTTCACGGAGGCCCTGGGCCCCGTGTGGTGGCCTCGGAGCAGGGGAGCAGGCACCCAGGAGCCCTCCTCTGTCACATCGACAGGGAGCAAACCCTTCCCCTCTGTGCGGGGAGACGCCCCAGCTTCCGCTTTGCAAAGGTCCTTGGAACGTTGTCTGCAGTGAAGGCAGCTGGTGCCTCTGTGTTTACGGCCAACAGACAAGCCAGTGAGCAGAGCCTCCCGGGGGCCCAGACCTCTTGCATCACGATCTCCGGGCCGCAGCCTGGGATGCGGATATCCCAGCACGAACCACTGAGATGAAGCCCAAGGCCGCAGACCTCATGGACACGGCCACATGAGGGGCCACGTCCCCACGAGCGCAGAGGCTGGATCCAGCACTGGCAGAGTGGGCCACGCGGGCCTCCGTCAGCCCGTCTGCCCGTCAGCCCGTGGAGCCTGTTCGTGCCTCCCACGTGTGCAGAGGTGACACGAGTCAGTGTCCGCGTGGCTCTTTAAGCAGGTCTGGATCCTGGACGCAACATCAGTAGACGGTATTCAGTGTGGCTACGATCGGCAGTGCCTACCCAGGACGCGGACTTGTGGAATCACGTCTCTAAACACCGTAAACGACTCCCTCTGTCTTCTGGTGTGTGGGGAGTTGTGCAGGGATCCCGAGTGCTCACCCAGCCCACGTGAGCCGACGTGCACGGGGAGGGAAGCAGGCCCCACGCAAGGCCCGGTTTGCATCCAGCGGCTCCAGCGTCTTGAGCACGAGGCCACGCTTCTTCCCGCGAGGACGGGAGACGATCGCAGGTCCCCCAGAACAGCGGACACGATGGCTCTAAGTGCACAAACCCATCTCCTTTCTCTCGCTCGCGGAGAAGGTGCGAGGGGTCTCCTGGTCTCCCCTCCAGAAAGCGAGGAACAGGCCTACGCCCGCGGCCAGACTCATGCAACCTGCTGGCCCAGCCTGCCAGTCTGGGGGCAGACAGACACCGTCACCGCAGATTCATGCCCGAGAAACACGCTCTGCTCCAGGAGAAACGTTTACAGGCAGAAACCAAGGTGGTCGTTGCGAGAAGAGACATGAAGGTGTCTGGTACAGGCGAGCAGGGGAGGGGACGCCCCGAGGCTGAGCCCCCAGTCCTCCAGGGGAATAAGGGAGACAGAGCTGGGGTTGAAGACCACCCCAGGAAGGGGGGGCTCTGTGCATCAGGACACACGTGCATTTGGGCCCAGCCCCCCATGGAGAAAGGCTCCCACGAGGTTCCCACACAGACCTGGTCCTCCATGAGAGACCACAACCCTGCACCTCCAGCTGGGCCCAGCCCAGAGAGGCCCTGTAGTGTCCAGTTCCCCAGCAATATGGGCGGCCCCGACTCCAGCTCCCCGGGGTCCGACACAGGCCAGCGGCGCTCCCTGCCGGGAAGGACGTGATGCAGCCACGCCGCCTCCACACCCCGGGCTCCGCACGTCCCAGGAGTCGTTGGAGGGAGTCTTTCTACGGACTTTGTTTACACCCTTGTGACGCTGTGTGCACAGGTGTGCACGCACACGTGTGCTCATTTGATGGCGCGTACACACACGTGTGCACACACGTGCAGGGACGGGCTCAAGGACAGAACCGAGACAGAGCCCTGGGAGTCTTTGTAGTCAGCAGGTTGACGAGACACGTCCTCACATCCAGACCGGGGCTGGCCCAGCTTGGAGCTCGGAGGACACCAGTCCCTTCTCCTGCCCCTCCCTGCCTTGGGCTCCTGCGGCCACGGTGCCCTGCCATGGCCCAGACCTGCCCTGGCTGGTGGCAGACCGTCTCGTGCTCCCCACGGAGGGGCGTCCCCAGCAGAGAGCTCCTCCGGGGCCCACGCTGCTCCTGCCTCACCGTGGGGACTCCGGCCTGGAGGGCTCCCCGGCTTCCTGCGGACCAGGGCACCCCAAGGCACCAAGGCGAGGCTGTGCGGCCCACGCCTCCATCGGAGTCCTGTCTGCCGGTTACCACGCCGGGCGCTGTAGCTGTGAACGGGAATTCTCTCTGGACTCTTCCCTGCCCGCCCTGGCTCCCAGGGGCTGCATCTCAAAACGCCTGCCTCCCCTGCCCCAGCCTGGGCTCTGGGTGGGTGGTCCCTTGACCGGGAACCCATGTGCCGGGCTGGCGGCTCTGGCCACGGCAGGCTGGTGACGGCTGCAGGCGGGCCCTCTGGGCACATGGGTCTCCCCACAGAGGCTTTCACTGCAGCCACCTTCCCCCAAAGCCACCTCGTGACGGCGGGGACCCCAGCACGGCTCAGGGTCCGCACCACCGGCCACGGCTGCAGGTCGTCCCGAGGCCTCAGCTCCAGGAGGCCAGTGAGCTATTAACAATGGCAGACCTGCCCTCTCGCCCTCTCATCTGGCACAGAAGATCTGATTCTGAGCTCGGACGGGAAGGTGGGCTCTCGCTGGCTCCGCGTCCTCTGCGTGATGACGGCCTCACAGCCCGTCTGGGTTTCCACTGTCTCCCTGGTGCCCAGGACACAGAAGCATCTGCTCCTGATGTCACCAAGCATCCTTGATCCTCTCTGTGCCGGGCACCGCCAGAGCCGTCTTCACGTCCACAGCGGACGGGACCAAGGGCGGGTGTAGACGCAGGTGCAGGGGTGAGGGCGGCACATGCGCTGAGCCCCCAGCAAGCTGCGAATGTGGGAAGCAGCCTGACGGCGGACAGGCAGGATTTGGTGCTGGGCGAGGAGAGCCGTGGCAGATCGGTGGTGGCCCCCGGCGCCGCGCCACGGAGACTGGTACAAGCCTGACCAGCGTCACCGCCTCCTGCCCTGCCGAGGCATGGAGGCGAGAGGACGACTTCTCCAGCCCACATGGGCCGCTCGGGTCGCTCATGCACACTGGCTAGGCACAGGCCCATCCTGGGAGCGTGAGGGGGAAACAGTCCTTAGAGGCAAGGCAGTGATCGGAGGAGGCACCCAGGACCCTCCCTCTCTTGCAGCGTCTGGGGACCCGCGAGGAGCCGGCAGGGGTTCTCCCTGACGTGGACACCTCTGGGCCTCCCATCTGTTCCCCTGTCCACTCACTCACCTGGGCCCCTTTCCGGCAGCACCTCCAGGCCAGAGCCCAGGTAACTGCCTACTCCTGACGCTGAGACCCAGCATCTCCCCCCACCTAGCAGGGCAGATCTGGTAAGCCCTGGGGCAGCGCAGCCCCTCCCCCCCACTCCGTCCCAGCATGCAGCCCCCGAACGTGGCCCCCTGCTCTGCTGCAGGACGTCAGGCCCACACTCCCGGAGCCTGCTCTGAGTGCCGTCCTGCACCCGGACCCCGAGGGGCCTCCCCACCACAGCAGGTGGCCAGCACCTTCCGGCCCCTGATGGGGGGTGGGTCTCCTCACCGCCCGGAGCCTACACGGTCACACCCTGAGAAACGGGGCCATGGTCCTGAGCATAGGAGGTCACAGCCCTGAGGATACAGGGTCACGGCCCCAACTGTCTGGGCTCACAGCTCAGACACAAGGGATCCCAGCCCCCAGCACGTGGGGTCTCGGCTCGAGCAAGTGGGGTCCAGTCCCGAGCATGTGGGGTCACAGCCTTGACAGAATGGGTCTCAACCCCGAACATGTGGGGTCCCAGTCTTCAGGACACAGGTGACAGCCCTGAGCTGGTGGGCTCCAGCCCCCGGGGTCACAGCCCTGGAGGTGGCATCACTGTCTTGAGTCCAGGGGTCATAACCTTGAGCATGTGGGGTCACAGCCCAGAATGTATGTGGAAACAGCCCCGAGCACGTGGGGTCCTGGCCATGGACAAGGGGTCACGTGGTCAGTTCACAGCATCTTCCTTTCTTGACTCTTCCTTCTCCCTCTGGGTCTCCCCCTCTGCCTTTTCTCCCCTCCGTCTGCCTCCATCTGTCTGCTTCCCTGTGTGTCCATCTCTCTCTGCTTCAAACCAGTGGGGCCAAAGTCGCTCCCTCGTCCTCCAGGAGGCCCCACGGCAGCCGGGGGGTCTCCTGCATCCGGGCCACGGGGCTCGCACACGTTTGCGGAGTGAAGACATTAAAGGTGTTCAATCCATCCGGGGCCACTGCGCCCCACAGACTGGATTCTTCTGGTTTTAGAAGAATTCAGAAAAGAAGCAGGCACCACGCGCTCCGTGGACCGTGCTTTCGAAGTTCTCAATGATCACGATAAAAAATACTGAGAAATTGCAGGATTTATTATTTCATAAATAATAAATAATTATTGGGGATTCTTGTTGACATTTAATTATTTACTGAAATGTAATAATCCAGGGTACCTGGGGGGCTTAGTCGGTTGAGCAACTGCCTTTGGCTCAGGTCATGATCTCAAGGTCCTGGGATCGAGCCCCGCATCGGGCTCCCTGCTCAGCTTCTCCCTCTCCCCCTGCTTGTGCTCGCTCTGTCTCTCTCAAATAAATAAGTAAACTCTTTAAGAAAGAAAGAAATGTAGTAACTCATTCTATGATTAGTAAGCAAATAGCAATGGCTCACTAGTTCATTAATCCTAAATGAGACACAATTACATGTAAGGGGAACAAATCTTACCATTTTGCGGGGGGAGGGCAGCTTGGGACATGAGGTCAGGAGCTCACAGGCCAGGTGGATCCACGAGGGAGGCTGCTGGGGACACGGGGCGGCAACTGCCCGGCTCAGACGGGCATGAGCTTCGTGGTGCCTGCCAGCCTGCGCCCCACGGCCCGGCACATGGCTTACTTCTCCGGCCTGCAGCCCAGCACCCCGCACCTGTCCTGCCCTGCCCTGGGGGACCCACGGCGGCTGCTCACCTCCACTGGTCAGCGTCCTCCCCGGCGAGCGAGGAGGGCCATGGGCTTGCCCCCATAAGCACCGCCCACCCCAGAGTACGTCTTCGGGTCCTCCGGAGGCCGCGTCTCCCAGATTCGAACCGTAAGGACCTCAGTGAACTGTGAGTTTGTTTTGCAGCCTCAGTGCCTCCTTGAGCGATGCTGGTCTCGAAGGTCTCTCGGAGAAACGTCTAGAAACAAGCTCAGAAGACCTCACCGGTGACCTTCCTGATTGGCTCTCTTGTCTTTGCGTTTCCACGTACATCACCGCAACACCGAGGGTGAAACACATCTGCAGCCTCATTCTCGCTGCGCAGGGCTGGCCTTCTGCACCAGGAGACTCAGCAGGGCTGAGACACGATGCCTTCTTCCTTCGTCGCTTTTGCTCCTCATGAGCCAGGGGCCCCATGGCCCTGACAAGGGCAGTTAAGCCTGAGAACCCCGTTTCTTTGTCCTCAGAGTTCAACGGCGGGAGGAGACTCAGGCCAGACTCCGCTCGCCGGCAGACCCGTGGACGAGACCGCCGGGTCGGGCGCCCTGAGACGGCAGACACCCTCCCCTCCCCGGGTGACACCTTGGCCGAGGGCAGAGCTCAGCTCAGAATCCAGGGAGAAGCCCGGGAGTCCTGAGGAAGACCTCGAGGGACCTGGTTTGCGCTGCCGGGAGGATGCCACACGCAGGGCCACACCTGCAGCCCAGAGTCATGGGGGCGGCCACTGACCCCAGGGAGCAGGATGGGGACAAACGGATGTGGTCCCAGCCCTGCGGGTCAGATCCACGGTCTGACCGTGGTCCCTGGAAGGACGGGGTTGTGGAAAAGTTTGTAAGACGCCAGCGTGGTGTCCACACGGGGGCAGATACTACTGGGGGACAGTCTCCACGGCTCTGGGTTATTTCTCATCACCTCCTGAGACAAAAGGCATTGGGTGTCCTTACTCCCGTCCACCCTCAAGGATGCTTTGAAAGGGGCCGCTCTGAGGGGCGCCTGGCGGGCTGTCAGCAGAGCCCCACTCTCGTTCTCAGGGTCCCAAGTCCAAGCCACATGCTGGGCATGGAGTCAGCTTAGAAAGGGGCAGCACGGGAGGCAGAAGTGGCGTCTCCCTCCGTAGAATGGCCCAAGTGCCCGCACAGCACGGACGCCCTCCTCTCCAGGGCAAAAGACAGGGGCGCGGACCCTCCCCTACACCGGTGTGGGTCCCGCGCCCCCATGGTCAGTGTGCCCAGTGGCGGGTCCGGGAAGGGGCAGGAGCTTTAGGTGACGGGGACCACAGGCGTAGGAGGACGTCCCTTGGGGACTCCGGATGCTGCCTCCCTGGTAGGCACGATGAAGCAGAATGGGAAAGAACCGTCAGAGGGAGCGACAGTAAGACTGTGTGACTGCACCCACCGCCATTCCAGAGGAGAAGGACCCTGCGGTGGCAGCCGCCAAGGAGCAGGGCCTGGAGCCTGGGCCCCCCGCGTGGCCCGCCCATGGCAGCGGGGGCCCTGCGGACCAGCCACGCTCAGCGGTGCACGGCCCGCAGGAAGGCTCCCTGGCAAGGGGACCGAGGACGGGTCTGTTGTAAAAAAGAAAGTGTGGGTCCACGAGTGCATGGGTGGGTGACGCCCCGCGGGGCATCCAGGCGTCCAGGGAAGGGCAGGTATTGCCCTGGGCCCGGGTCTCTGCTGGTCTGGCTCCTGGGACCGCATGTGGATGTCACCGTCCCCAGCGAGAGCGTCTGTAACCATTAGTCAGCCACCAACGAGATGAGCTTGTGAGGACAAAACCCGCTCTTTAGCTGTTCTGTTTGCTTTACAAACATCTCATGCGAGGCCACCGTGTCCTCAATACTGAGGTCAATTATGTATTAAAGCCAAGGGGTTTCTTGTGACTGAATCCAGAAGGATGGGTGGGCTTGTCCCGCACTGAACGTCTGCGTCCCTCGGTGTCCTCCGCCCCCGCTCTGGTCTCGGCTCCTCTCTCCTGCTCCAAGACAAGTAGCCCCCTGTCCTGGGACCCCCGTCCACTGCCGGGATCCCACCCCCGCCTCCGAGACCGCAGATGCGCGTCATGGTGAGCTCACCGTGGTTTGCTCTGGGCTACCCTAGAGACAGTTTGGGACTCAAAACCGGTTCTTTCGGGATCTTCCCCTTGAAACCAGGAGAGTGAGTGAACGCACGGGAGGTCCCGATTGGTAAGGTGGAGATGGCGAGGCTGGCGGCGAGGCCCGGGCACCGGCCCCTAGTGACCTGCCCTCCCGTGTCCCCCGCGGAAAGCCTACCTCTTCACGGTGTGGTAGATGGCACGGTCCACCATGCGTCTGGTCTCCTCCACGACGCTGACGACAGGAGGGCCTCCACTGCGTCCTGTGGAACAAGACGGCAAGGTGAACCCTGTCTGAGCGCAGACACCTCTGCACGTTCAGTGTCCTCCAAGGGCAGCGTGAGGCAGCGACAAGCCCACGGCCCCTGAGCCCCGTCTGGAGGGGTCCTGGCCGGCTTCCCCGTGGGCCTTATTTCCACGTCTCACAGGAGGCATGAGCCCCCGCCCCAACCCAGAGCTGCCCATGCAGTGCAAGGAGCACAGGGTCCTGCCCACTCCCACCACCTCCCCACGCCCCAAGGTGCCTCGCAGGGCTCCGGACACAGGCCGCCGTGGAGCCCGTCTGAAGCTGGCCCCGCACACAACACCGGGCAGACGCCGTGCGGCTGAGATCTCCACTCGAGCCGGTCCACCCCAGGTGACCTCACACCCAGGGTCACAAGCCCTGTGCCGGCACCTGCCCTTTTGGCCGAAGGCTGCCCTGGGAGGTTCCAGGTCCCCCTCCTCGGCTCCTTAGCTGTCCAGAGGGGCCCAGGGAGCTCAGGGAAGCTCGGCCTTTACCAGTTCACTCAAGGGTGCAGACCAGTAGCCTGAAGGAGAGACGTGTGGGGCGAGGCCCACAACAAACATGCGTCTGTCTTTGTGGCTTGTGGGGCCAGCTCCGCGACATGCGGGGACCTTTGGGCTCCCCATCCTGAAGCTCTCAGAACCAGCACTTCCGGGCCTTTACAGAAACGTCGTCACAGAGGCAGAAAGGTGGAGACCCTGGCCGTGGGCATCTGATCACCCTCCCGGCCCTTCCCTTGTCCAGAGGCCGGGCTGGGCGCCCCGGATACTCCAACCCTCCGGTCCCACGGCGGGTGAGCACACGCTTGCGAAAGAGCCGCACGTCCGCTGTCTCCGAGGAGTCCTGTTCAGCACACGAACGCTGGAATCTTCCTCCCCTGGGGCCACAAACCGCGCGGGCCCCGGGGTCATTGCGGATGGACCATGGAGCTGGTTTCTTCGGAGCTCTGTGTTGGGATCCTGACGTGCCTGACCCATGTGCCGAAATCCGATCACCAGGAATGAAGTCGGCCAGTGTTCCTCGCTTGGCGCGTCCCCTCCCGGCTGGGCCCAGACGTCCGGGTCTGCAGGCCGGTCTCTGCTTCCCATGGATTCCTTTTGGCAGTGGCTGGAACTGGTGGGAACCGTTGCGTAAGGAGGCCTGTGCGTTAGTCTCGGCTTTGCACAAACAGTGCACACGCGTCCCCTCCGTGCTCACGAGCATGCGGCTTCCGTGAGGACCACAGGCTCCACAGAAGGGCCTTGGCCTTGCTCTCGTAGACCCACACGGCCACGCGCACGTCTGTCCGCGAACACGGCCGACTCCTTCCTACCCAGATTCTCTGGCTGCCTCCGTTTGCTCCTCCCTGAGCTGAGCCCAGGTACCCTACTCTGGAGCTTCTCCTGAGCCAGACTCGAGCAGCAAGGACATGCAGGGTGGGTACACTGGCCTTGCTCCCGCCCCCCACCACACCACTACAGGCCACAGCCTGACCGTCAGGTGTGCATGTCTAGGACCTATGTGTGTCCTCGACTGTGCCCCGTCCAGTCTCCAGTCTTGTGTGTGGGGCTTCACAGAAGGACCCAGAAGGATAGTGAGCTTGGACACGGCTGTACCTCGGGCTCCTGGGGCCCTCCTGGGGGTGACCGGGCCCTGGATGCAGGACTCTGGGGCCCTCCTAGGGCCAAGCCTAGACTGGACACGCCGGGGCGAGGGCCCAGCAGCGAGCCCGCCGGCAGCCCCACCTCCCGGCTGCCAGCTCCACGAAGAACCCAGAGCTGTGATAAGAACGCAAACCCCTGAGAACACAGAGCAGCATCGCGAATTGAACTGGGGGCCAAGAAACGTGACCCGTGACAGTGATCTTTCGGCGGAACTGCGGTGAGCTGGTGGTCGGCCGGGAAAACACTGTCCTCTATCAACGAATGTGAGGTTGGACACAGTGAGAGAAATGTTCTCCAAATAAGTATTTGTAAACGGTTAACAAGCCAGCCTCAAAGTGTTCCCATTGATGCTAAAATGCCCACGACGTGGCGTCCACAGCCCCGGATAAAACCTGATGGGATGCGTCCTCGTGCGCAATCGCTGTGCCGGCTCCGAGTCTGGCAGGCGCGAGTTGAGCCCTCCGACGGGCGGTGGCGTGCGGGCTCCGGCGAAGCAGCAGAGATCACACGCCCCGATTTGTGGACTGTGACGCCCACAGCTGACCGTGTGCATGACGGTCCGTGGGCGGCTCCGACCCATGACAACTCAGCCACCACAGCCACATGACTCCTAACTCGTGTTACCGTGGTTGTACACGGGGGGGGGCCTTAATGACTATCCGATAGAAGGACAGATTGGTTAACTCACAGGACAGCTGTCGAACAGCACGGGGACCGCGGGCCCATGTGGGCGAGATGAGCCCATCTTCCCCGCGGCGCCTGAAACGCGCGTCTGGTGTCCTTTCCTGCTGTCATCCAGACGCAGGGCACTTGGCACGGCGTGGCATGTCAGGGGTCCCCGCGACAGACGACTTCCCAAGCTCTGGCGTGTGGCAGGCGTGGCGAGGGAAGGGGCGCGTGCAGACCCATGTTCTCTGAACCCAGCGCTCACCTCAGGCTTCCTGCTGCCTGGGATGCGTTAGGCGCTTTCTTAGGGTCACGGGGGTCTGTGAGGGACGTCGGTGCAACTTTCCACATGGTCACGAAGCCCCGAGTCCAGAGGAATTGGGAGAAGTGGGGCCCAGCAGGGGTGGGACGGGGGCTGTCAGCGCGAGGGTCCTCCCACTCTTGAGGAGTCTGTAGACAGCCCCGCCGGGCTGCAGGGATGCAGGAGCCTGTTGGGGACAGTGTGTGTCCCCGGGGGGGCAGCCAGAGGCACCTCCGACATTCTGCTCAAGGCAAATGCCTTCAACGTGTTTGGTGCCTTCCCTTCCTTCCTTCCTTCCTTCCTTCCTTCCTTCCTTCCTTCCTTCCT